GACGAGAAATTTTCAAATCTTTGTAAAAATCCACACGACGAGAGGAAATGCACTCATACATGAATCAAAGAGAGCCGATTTTCCTTTAACGGAATTCTATCTGCGTTATTAATGCTCTGTATAAACCCGTTCATATGTTAATGAGCTCTTTGCGACAGATTCCTGTTCTTCTGTCTCAAAGGACACTCAAAAGAATCACTCTCTTCTGCATCTGGTGCTTTTCATTTTAAAAATAATTGCAAATGTAGTTTTATAGCAACAACATTCCACTACCAACCACAGCTGCAGTTGTGCTGGAGGGAAGAAAGTTGGCTCAAAAAGAGTACAAACGTTGACATGATTTGGTTGGAAAACGAATCCACTTGGAAGTGTGTCGTGAGAATGGGATCGAAGTAAAAACAAAATGGTTCGAACATCAGCCAGAGGTAGTACAGAAAAATGAGAGATACAAGATATTGTGGGACTTTAACATCCAAAGTGACCAAGTGATCGAAGCAAGACGTCCGGATGTGATTGCCATGGTAATGAAACAAAGTTCGTTGCAATCAAGGACTTTGCCATTCCCTATTATAAGAGAGTAAACTCCAAGGAGGCGGAAAAGATCGAAAAATATCAAGACCTTGCAAGAGAGATAGAAAAGTTATGGGGCATGAGGGTGACAGTAATTCTAATAGTTATAGGAGCACTTGGAACAACACCAAAGAAACTGAAGAAGAGATTGGAATTGAAACACGGGTTACTGAGTTGCAGAAAACTGTGATCTTACATTCTGCCAGGATTTTGAGAAATGTTCTCGAGATTCGAGATTTTAGTCATTACCACTGACACTGACAACAATAATAAAATTTTTTTAAACATCTCATTTTCCTTGAATACATTTTAAATTTGCAATTATACGACTCGCTTTTACAACATCATATAATTTGCTTATCTGCATTACAATATTTAGAGGTAAATCAGTTCGGGGCTTAGCATGGTTTGTTTCGACGACAGAAGATATAGTAGGTGCAGCAGATAGAAATGTTCATGAGTTTTATCAAGATGGATTTAGTTTGATTTGAGTCAAAATTGAGTTGATGTAGCATGTCGGAGAGAGAGATAGATGAGGGTCCCAGAATGCCAAGGACACTCATAGAGAGGTTAACAAAGGTAACACGTTTATAGGCAGGGTGCAGTTCCTTGAGAAGATCGCTATATTTCTTAGCTTTTCGAGTACTGTTTTTGTCGATGTTGCTTTCGAACCCAACAGTAAGCTTTAGCATGTCAAGAATCGATCTTCAGTCACGAAGACAAGATCTGGTCGATAGGAGTCGCCTGTGATTAAAGAAGGTGATAGAAATGAAGGCAGGTCAGCGTAAAGTGAGCTGTTTCTAGGTGTTGAAAGGATTTTGGCCAAACAGAGAAGTAGAGAATCATGTCTCCAGGTATACCTACCATGTTCAAGATAATTTGTGTAGCTAGAGACTATGTGCTGTAATGATTCTGATTGGAGAAAAAAGAGCAGGTAGATGACTGAGTAATAGACCATTTGCAGAGGTTTTTCCTAGTGGCAAGAGTGTTGTTTAGGTATTTGATAATAATAATAACAATAATGATAATAATCTCTTCATTTACAGTTGGTTTGAACAATAGCTAAGATATATAGATAATTATTACCTACCTAATTAATACCAACTATTTATATACTAAAAAGGAAAAGTACAATAATAATCTACCTATTTACATATTTTACAGCCAAATTTGTCTTTATTCCAGGCGTGTATGCCCTTTTGAATTTGGATACGTTTTCCACATTCTTTATCGTATCAGGCTCAGGCAGGGTGTTCCAGAGAATGCTCCCCCAGATTGCCAATAAGTTTATCCCAAATGATATCGTTTTGATAGGCGGAAGTTGCAGCGTATTTTTTATTCGTAGATCATAAGACAGTTCCCTCTGTACCAAAAATTCTCCCATGAACGATGGACTCTCATGATTTGATGATTTGTATATCTCTGTCATTAACTTCTGTAAGTTTTACGTATGGATGGCTATTTCATTGTTCTTTGTGAGGAGACATTCAAAGGTGGATTAATAATCACAAAACAGTGCGCGTAGTGTGCGTTTATGTACGCGATTTATCTCCTTAATACACCGCCTTCCACAGAAAATCCAAAAGAGAGGACAGTAGTTGAAATTTGGTAGCTGAAAGGAATTTTATAGTAATTCTGCCTAACCTTTATCTAGGAGGCTAGCCACCCTAGAAAATGCTCTCACATTTCGGTTCACCTTTTGGCATAGGGTTGTGATATGTTGGTCATATTAAAGGCCAGCATCGACTGTGACGCCTAGAAGTTTAACGCTGTCTGATGAGTATAAAGTTGTTCCATATATTTCAATGCAAATTGTTTCATCAAGTTTGGTTGCAAGGAGCATTATCTGGAACTTGAATGGATTAGCTACCATTCTGTTTGATTTGAGCCGTTTTAGAGCTTGACATAGATCTTCTTCTATGCATCCATCCAAATCACTACCACAAGAGTAATTGGTATTGTCATCTGCAAAATTGCAAATTTCTGTATTTTGGATGAAATAAATCAAATCATTGACGTAATTGGTGAGCAACAAAGGACCCAAGACAGAACCTTGGAGTACCCCTCATACAATATCAGGCCAGTTGGTGTAGGCCGACCCAGTTTTCACCCTTTGTTTTCTGCCGAAGAGGTAGCTATATATAAATCTGAGGCAGTTCATGCCGAAGCCTTAAGCCTCAAGCTTTGCTTTCAGGAGATCATAAGGTAGGCAATCAAAAGCTTTAGACAGGTCCGCGAGTACCGAACCGAATACGCCTCCGTCATCCAGGCATATGCGACATTTTTCAATTAATCTAAAGAGAGCATGTTGAGCACTGTGCCCCTCTCTGAAGCTACAGAGTAGCCTAGAAATTTTTGTTTTTGCAAAAGGAGTCATCTCTTGTGAGACCTGCCTCTCGAATACTTTTAAGAGTGTAGAAAGTAAACTTCGTAGAAAGTACACAGTATATATTCGAGCATTGAAGTGGAAGGGAGGCGCTAAAAAGCTGAAGGGCGCTTTGTACTCTAATGAGCATAAAAAACTTTTTGCCACAAGACAATGAATACTTTTGCAAGAGTTGCAGGAGGCTTTGACCCTCAAAAGACAAACCTGCTCTTCTATAAAACTCATATTTTCCAAGCGATCTGATCAATCAGGCTCATGAGCGTGTTCTAAAAGTTTTTTAAGCAATGTTGACTCTAATTATGAAGAGCTCTTATGCATGAAAGAAGAAGTCAAAATAAAATGCAAAATGTTTGCAAGAAGCTTATAAATGTATCACTTCTGGAAACCCCGTCTTCCTGTTGGAGTCTGTCAATAGAAATGTGCTTTCATATACAGTAAATCCTCGAATAAGACCACGAATAAGATGAATTTTTAGGTGGGAGCTTATTTCAAGGTGCAAGAGCCACGACTAAAGAGCAAGAAAGTGGCGGAAATTCTTGTTGACCAATTGAGTTGATGGAAAGATGAACATGAGCATTTTCAGCTTTTAATTTCAACAACTGATATCATTAAAAGAGTTGCAAAGTGCTGTGTGAAGATCTAACAAATATTATAGTTTTTTATCATCACAAAAGTCGCTTTTTTGCTTTATGGTCTCCTGTCAAAGGGAGTAATACTGTATAGCTATTGTCCTGTGGGTGCTTTTATGAAGTTAAATATTATTCTGCAATTATGTTTCCCTCGAATGAGTCCCCATAGAGGGCTTATTCGACGGGGGGAGGGCTTATTTGCAAAAAAGAATTTTTAGGTGGGCCTTACTCGAGTTGGGGGGAGGGGGGGGGGTGGCGCTTGATCGAGCGTGGAGACTTATTCGAGGATTTATGGTAGTTTAAGAATACGCATCCTTGAATCAACATTTGGATATAAACTTTCTGCTTATCTTTGGACATTATCCGTCTTTTATACTCTGACGAATGTCAAACGAACAAGAACCCAGTTTACATTGAAAAGGTTGAAAGGGAGTCAGATGTAACTGCTGCATTTTGTTTTATGGTTTAATTTCAAGCACTTTGAAAAGGGTAGGATATTTTATTTTATTGCTACCTGCAAGTAAATTTTTGCTAGGCATTAAATGCAACATATTGAAAAGGACAGAGGGTGATCTCTCCTGATGACTTCACGGCGAAATACTAATTCTCAATACATTATCATTCATAAAAACCAACTGTGTAAGCTGAGAGAGAAAACTAGGACACGTGCTTTAATTGGAAACCGTTTTATCTACATAAGCAGGAAGCTCGCTGTTTGTCAGTTAGTGTAGATAACATGGGTTGGGCAAATTAGGAATAAAGACTGAAAAAGCTTTCTAGGTCAAATTTTCATATCTGTTGGGCTCATTCATTGTTGTGAGGAAATGTTGCACATGGCGAGAAAGGTGTTTTTGCAAACTAGCATGTAGATAAAAGCTAATTTGGTAATACCCAGCATAAACTCTTGGAACACAAACGTCAGAACAATTTCAGCCATCCTCTCTCCCCCTATGAACAATGTTTGATTTCTAAAATATTGTGCAGGAAGTCAGGAACTCAATTTTCTCTTGCGACTTCTATGATTTTTGCCTAAACTATCAATTTTTTTCTGAGAAAGGGAGGTGGATGTAGTAATGCTTGATATAGAATATGAAAAATGCAAACATAGAATCCAAGTATAATTTTTCAGGTATTGTAGATAAATGCAAAAGGTATGTAAGTATTGTTAATACAAGGAGTTCGTTTTTGCAGTTTCCCGCGGCTAGACAGAGATAATCCTTGTCAAATCTCCTTGGATTGCATCTGCTAATTTTGAAAATGAACTTGTGTCGCACCCTTTCACCCCTAGAAAAATGTTGGTTGTGGAGTTTATTATCAAAACTGTAATCGATAAGGACAAGGAATCAAATAGAGAATTTTGTAAAACAATTTTATAGAAATGCAAGTATCTAGCGTAGGGTACCAAGATGTTTTCGATGGATAAAGAAAAATAATATGAATTAGTTATAATGAAGTTGAAGATTTGAAAAAACATTATTATTTAACTGTTAGCAGCTATTGATAGTAAACTTTTTTGCAAAGTGATGAAGATACAAAGCTGATTTAAATAGTGTGAATCCAAGAACATTATAATCCGTTGGCAGCGCATGTATTCAGTAGTTAACCACTGACATTAAGAGTAGCAATGTTCTCATAATTGGTATGCGACGCAAACCCAAAAAGAAAAAAAACTGTCTTGGAAATTTTGGCTGTTTATTAGCTTCACAGTTTGAAAGAAATCCTTAAAAAAGTGCATTGTCAAGGAAGTAGGGAATCATAATTAAAGACAGCAGGATCACTCTCCTCCTTGGTGGTGACGGTCTGTGAAGAAGGCTAGACTATATCTGTTCAATGTAGCAATCTTCTACTTCTAGAATAATGATGCAATATTTTGTTTGTGCTTGTAAAATAAGAATCGACGAGTTAAGAGATTTTTTGACAAATGAAGAGTTTTTCTAATTGTAAAAATTTAGCGACCGTTCCATGTATTTGTCGGCTTATGCTTTCATTAGATTGAAAAAGATTTCACAGCTACGCAAGTCTTCGGTTGAACGCCTTCAAAGCATTGATCAACACAATGTATCATCAAACACTCGAGTTGCGCAGTATTCCTATGGTATGCAGTTATCTGAACAGGAAGTAGCTTTTGATGACCGAAAGATGGCTGATTCAAACAAGGGAAAAGTGTCGGCATGATGAAAGAATCAATGAAAAGGTCACAGGAATAAACTATTAAGTAAATTTTAGGATGTAAAAAGCCATTAATTACTTCTTCACCTAGGAACCTATAGCTATCAAACGGCCGACTTGGAACCTGAAAGCCTAGGAAAGGATTATTCATCGAAGTGTGCAATATGTTCATCTTAGATTAAAAATAATGATCCGGTTGCTTATAGGTTAATCAGTTATACTGAAATAGGCAATGATATGATAAACTATATTCATTCAGAAAGACAATCTGTTGGTTCCCACGCTTTTGGTTCTTTTTAATTCGTATTTTTAAATAAGAAAGCTTGGCATAAGGCACGAAAACTTAAGACTTTGAGTTAAATCTTTGATAAATGTAAAAAGCTTCCTAAAACTTAGAAATAAGTTAGCATGGGCCAGCTCTGCAGTAACATGTGTACTAACCCTATTTGGGCATTGATTCTATATGAAGATTCAAACAGTGTAGGATCAAATAAAATCTTCTTAGATCAATCATCTTATTGCTCAGTTAGATCAATTAACAATTATGGTTTCATTATAACTTGGCTCTGTATATCTTTTACTGTAACACGAAAGCCCTAAAACTGATAACGAGCAATAGATAGCAAAAGAAATATACACTTTCTTTATTACAGAAGCAAAATTCGGGTATCTATTCACTCTGATACAGTATGTTTGATCTGCCGTATCTTTGAAAAAGTTTGCCACCAACTAGCTGTTTCTTGTGAAGAAAAAATCTTTCCATCTGACATGATGAGATAAGGAGTGGGTTAAAGAAACAGTATCATATCCTAATATAATCAAGCAAAAGTAGCAACAGCCTTGTATTTTCCAAACTGCCAATCATCAAAGATATCGAATAATGTATTTTTGCTTATAAAAATAACTTTGTTTTCAAGAAAAATAAATCATTTTTGTAACTGACCACTAGAATATTGTTTTTTGATTAAATCCCCTTTATGCTAGAAACACATTTTGCACCAAATAAACTCTGATCCATAATCGTGAGAATTGTTTTCTTTCTTGGACACTAACAGCTGAAGTACGAGATTTTATATGTTAGTGTTAGATTACACCGAACATTAGCTATCTTCCACCGACTAGAACAGCTTTTATTATTATTTTCAGTGAATCGCTCTTTGTTTTCAATTTACATCTTTATCAATTTCTATGATAAACCTTCTCTCCTAAAACAGTTACTTTGCATTACTAACGCTAATTGCCTTGGCTGGTATTCTTTTTTGCTTATGAAAATCAATTATCAATGATTCTTCTAGTGTTTTTGTTGTCTCTTAAGAGTTGAGAAATGGTATTTCTTCTGAAGAACATGTAGTTCAGTATGTTATGTCGATGTCATGCTAACCTAGACTGACACGTCTGAGAAAACCACGAGAAGATGAAATATAAACAAAAACAGTGCTTTTAGCTTTATGCAAAGATGTTTAAAAAATTAAATTGGCGGATAATAAAAACAGAATTTTTAGACAGAAGACCAGGTAAAGTCGTGATTTTACAAGATGTTAGTTTGAATAAACGGCAAACAGTTAGTTGCCTAATAAATTTTTTTTGTTTATTTCACAATAAGTGGTAAATAATCGCATTAGCGAATACTTTTTAGTCTGAAATATACACCTGCTCATTTGCTGCTTACGCTACACGTGATTGTATTGTCACTATGTTGATGAGCTGACAATATAATCGAGCCCATGAAGTCCGAACCATTTGATGAAAGCAACTGGTCATCCTTGACGAGGTTAGATACTTTAATGTCTATTACTTTTTATGTAAAATTTACAACAAAATGTGTCATTGCTAAGTAATTTATCAAAGCGAGAGAAATTTTTTGCAGAAGAATCTTTGCTACAATGCTGCAAGGCGGCAATGAATGTCTCACGTTGCCAGAAAATGGAGTTCATTTCCTTGCCGTTTTAATCAAAGTGTAATTATTTTATACTCATTTTTACAGTTTTAAAATAAATTAGACTACATAACTAGAAATTTTTGTAGGAAGTATCGATAAATTCTTAACAAAATTAATGTTATCATTTGTATCATGAAGTACGGAAGCACAATTGCACTGTGTAAGTGTGACGTAACAGTAGGAATGCTGTAGAAATACGAAGTTTTGATGCAAAATGGGCTATTTTATTCACTTTTGTTGATTTGCATTAGTTTGGCTCACAAGCATTTAATTTCTTTGAAATTTTTCATAACTCAAAGAAAGAATTAAAGAAAAAATTGCCAAGAAAGATTTGAAGGACATCAACATTTGCAAAATCATACCGATTAGAATAGATATTAGAATCAAACGTTCATATACGACATAATGTTTTTGCTCGTAAATGTTTCATGGATATATCACTTCAATCCAATTATTATGTTCTCATAAAAGTTGCAATTCATTATTACAATTGCAGAAAGGATATAGAAAGGATAGGCAGATATGAACGTAAATTCATGACAACCCTGATGCCACGATGATATATCTCTGAAGTAATACTTAGGAAGGATAGGTGCGCACAGAAATTACTGTCTCGCTGGTCTCTCATTAAGTACTCGATACTGTGTAGACAGAGCTGCACACGGATTAGTGTGACTAGCAGAAGGGTTCCAAGTTGCAACAACGAGTATCACGCTATAAGTAATCATCATGCAGTTGCTTTACTTAAATGTTCGAAAGTTGCTTGTTTATTCTATCAAGCGTGAAAACGATGAGATAAATGGTATATAAGTATATTTTTACATGGATGATTTATTTTCTCAGACCCTTCGGGGCCAGACCCATCCTGAAGCCCCTCTTTTCAACATTCTATATTTGCTAAAACGACTTTATTTTGATAATTTTGGTGGGACAAGTATCCTTCTTCAAGAAACTTCATGAATACTATCTCATTGTTATTGTCAATTCAAAACCATAACGTTATTTAGTAAATAACAATAACCAGTAGATCGCATAATCGACGATAAAAACGGCTTAACACAACTAAAACGCTCAGCTGCAATGTTATAGCTAATAGATTTGAATTGATTTGAGAGACCTCTAAAAATTTACGTAAAAAGTCTACCGAAAATGCTTGAAAAACAGTACATGCATTTGAGATTTCAAGCAAACTTATAGTATTTCCTTTAAACTCAATGCAAGCAAAAAGAGCTTCATTGCTCCGATGTAAATTTTTGAATTCGGCTCAAACAAATTCAGAATGTTCCGAAAAAGTGTGAAGTTGTGAAAATTCCTTTTTATTGTGTTTGATTGGTAACAAGCTCTAACAAAGATTTGATCATTTTTTCAGGAAATAACAGCAGTGCACACACAGTGACTACTATGGCAGATGTATGGTATTGAGTTTACAAGAAAAGTTTAAATAATGATGACTAAAGCCTTCTTGCTGTTTTAAAAACGAGGAGCTATTGTTGCTGCATGTAGAAAACAACGCATTCTGCAATGACCGTGGGAAACATCACAGCGAATGTAACAAATGAAGTCAAAACCAATTACATTTGCCTTGGATTGCAGCACGTTGAATTTATAATGACTGCCTCCGCGAAACTAACTGCATACTTCAGCATTTTTCACAGTCTTGGGATAACTGCTACAGCTCTGATTGGCAATGTGATCATTCTCTACACAGTACGAAGTTTTACAGATATACGAAACTCAAAGAACTTGCTATTTGCAGCTATGTCAGTTACAGATTTTCTCGTCAGCATATTTGTCCTACCACTGAACATAGTTATACGCACTTTAGAGCTATCAGACATTCATATTTGTGCGGTCAAGAGAACCCAGTCATTTGCCTCGTACCTGCTTTGCGGTTGGTCATTGGTAAATGTGGCATTTATCAGTATTGACCGTTACATTGCCACTGCCTATCCAATTCAATACCGCATCCCATCAAACAAGCGAACATTCATCAAAGCACTTGCCTTTGTTTGGTTGGTGTGGATAATCATTCTCATTCCTCCTTTCTCTGGTGCTGTTAGCCTTTCAGTGCTAAACTTGCTTTCGGCAGCATTGATTTTGTCTTGGTTGTTTATAGTTGTTGGTTGCTACTTTAAAATAATATGGATTCTGAGGTTTACCAGAAAGAGGAGACAGATTCACCAAGCATCTAATAGGCCAGTTGTTACTGCCCGACAGCACAGCACAAAAAGTGGGGCGAAGACGATTTTCACGATAACAGCCGTGTTCATAATTTGCTATGCTCCTTGGTTTATCTCTTCGGTCGTTTTGATCGTTATCAAGGCATCTGCTGAATCGAAGTACATTGTAGGGAGAGTAGTGGAGCTTTTCCTCTATATGAACAGCTCTCTGAACCCATTCCTCTACTGCTATAGAAATTTGAGATTGAGATCTGCAATTACGACAACTATAGGAAAAATATGCAGAAAAAAAGTGAATGATGCATCGAGTTGAAAACACCAGGTCTGTAGTCTGTACAGACCACAGCAGGACCAATGTATTCTATTTTAAAAAATTGTTTCAAGAGGCTTCTTACAAAGCGCCTATCGTCATTTCATTAGACAACGTAATTCATTTCAAATCGTTAGCCTTTTTTAAGTTATGATAGTGTGGTAATAAGTTTGCATGTCATTCCTGTAAGACGAATAAAGAGTAATGTCAGTACCCAAATGAATTGCATGTAGAAAAACCTGCAAAGATCTATTCAAGCTTAGCTCCATTTGATACCGAATAATGTATTAGATACTTCAATAATTATTATGGCTCAATTGGTAGTACGCTGTCTTAGATTCTATAATTATCTATAATTTCAATACTTTATACGCAGGATAGATATTGCTTAAAGCACGAAAAACGCGACCCATTCTACTTTTGATCTAACTTTCTGAACGAGGTATCCTATCTTCAATTTTAGATCTCTTACCTCTGTTTCGTATCAGTCCACAAGTGTGGCTTGAAAACCTCGTTTCATTTTTATCATTATTAAAGCATAATTGGTGCCGAAACCTTCCTTGCTGGTTACACCAAAATATATGTTTTAATCCTTGCTGATCAAAGTGACTGTAATGGTTAGCGAGTGGCACGATTAGTTTATCTATACAGAGAGCTCACTCTATAACAATATATATTGTATGTTTCATGTAATTTTCTCTGCTTTATGATATATACATTCTCAAATATATAATTCCAACCAAGATTGTGCAAAAAACTATAATGGTGATATGTTTCGGATTATTGGCAAAGCCCGATCGTCATTCCATCTAGCAGTTTTGGAAAGAGTCTATCTACATAAGCATGGAAAACCGCTATTGTGTAGACAGAAGGAGTTCGTTTTCACCTTAGGACCTCATTGGTATCATTCTAAATTGACAAGCGGCACTGATTGGGCAACCTCAACAGTCATGTGCTCGTGTTTCTGATAATTCTATAATTCTTTAATACAGTCGTGTTTCGAGATGTACCTGCATTCAATTGTTTTGTAGTTGTTTAAAATTGTACGTAGGATTGCTTGATAATCAGAAAAAGAAAATGTTTTGAAATAAATCAAGACAGAAATTTAAAATAGCTTAGCAACAAGAGAATATATATGATGAACAGGACTGAAGCTTGAAGAGTGTGTCATGCTCTTAAATAAAGAGAAGCTTTGCCATCTACAGGTGCCGAATCGGCGAAATTTCAAACCTTTAAGCAAAGAAAGAGGAGCTTATCGACTTCATCAGCAAATGTGACTTAAAAGCCCCCCATTGAGTAAAAGACCTTGAATTACTGGTCGGACCACAGCTGTCTACAGAATTTTCAATTGTTCATTTATAGAGCAAGGCAGACATGTGGAGAAAGACGCGTCAGAGCATTGTTTAGAAAGATTCTCTGTTCTGAACCTGCATCCTTTCAAGTTAGAGAGAAGAATGCATTACCATATAATTATAAGTAACTTCATTCAAATTGCCATCCTTGACTTTTTGACATATTCTAACTGACAAAATTTCTCAACTAACTGACCAGCTCTTCCTTGCTTATATTGACTAATTTGTACCTTTTGATCAAACTATTTTAGAATATGGCACATATTAAAGAGACTGTGAATAGACCTTATACAAAAATATTAAAGAGACCTTACACAAAAATATGTCAAGAAACAATCAGGTTATTATGTGAGACATCATATCAAAAACTTAGCAGTTTTTATCATTATTTGTTTAAAAATTTCTTTTGGATTTCAAAATTCAATACAGATCGTTCCATGCTGCTTAAAGTGCAATAAAAAGAAGTGTAATTTATATAGTCATTAAATGATATCTCGATTTTGCGTTTTGTTTGTTGTAAGCATAGGTAGTGATTTCTTTCTCAGTGTCAACAAAGGCTTCATTTCCAAGTCAATTATTTTAACGCTTTAATCTAATATTCTATGAAGTCGACTACCTTGCTCGGCTGTGTTTCTTAACATCGCTATTGTTTGGTTTAAATCTTCGTAGATTCGTAAATCTATGAAACATTTAAAAGTAGAATAATGAGTAAACAGTTTTCTTTATTGTTGCACATCTTTTGTATTCTACCTTGCCTATCTACAGCTGTAAGTCTATCATTATTATTAATTGAATTTATAGCTTTTATCCCACATTGATAATCACAAAGGTGACTAACTATTTATCAAGCTATTATACATCGATATCCAATTCAGGGGCAGTGCCATCAGCAATTTTAAGGGTTGGGCGCCTCATTCAAGCATCCTGAATTGGCATTTGAAAGTCTTGAAAGTTTTTAAGTAGCAATTTTGTTAAAACCTTGCTGTTAATTCAAAAGAAACTTGACTAAACCATCAAATATCAACTTTCTGTTAAAATAGCTGTGGCAGAATCTCACACAGGCCTTGGCGTTACTTGAAGCCAGAAAACATAAACGTTTTACGGCAAATAGTTCGGAAATAGGGCATCGCATGGCTTAGTAAATCAAACAAATTTTCGAAAACTTATCTTTGACAATTACACTAGGGTATATTCAAAATATTTTGTATGATATTTTACGGTAGAGTGTTTGGTGACCAGCAGCATCCAATTTTTAGTGACAAACAGGTGTGCCTACCTGCTGCAACCATGGAGTATTGGTACAAAGTAGACAATCAAAGCTTTACTTCAAAGTCAATAGAACGGAGGACCTTGGAACTTAAAATGGCGGTGACTACGTAGGATAGATGCATGTGTTCGTCTCATTTATCCCACCTAAAAAAATCTATATAGAAGTACATAGAAAGGTCTTCTTCTGCTGTAAGGATATTTCATAAAATTACTTCAAAATCAGTTTAAAAATTGTAGACTTGTGGCATTTGTAGCCGTGAATGGTTGCCCTGGTTGCGTATCCAAGTTTACATTGCTCTTTGTTGTTGTCGTTGTCATGCTGTATTATTGTCGCCATGTATACTAAATTCGGTAGAAAAGCAGCTTGAATTTAGAGTAATTTTTATATAAGCATGCAAGGTATAATTGTTTCAAAAATTGATGGATCGCACTACTTTCTTTCACCAAAAGAAACCAGAATTGGCCGTGAAGGCTGTGACATCAATCTTCAGGTATAAAATGTTTATTTCTAACGTATAGTTTTCCACCACCACAGTGAGGCCATGATGGCCTAAATATGACACACTCATTTTAAGAACGCTATAGCCAGTGTTAAGGCTAGTCATTGTACTTGTTTTATTTAATAAGGCATAAACGAAGATTACAGCATGCTGAAAACACCCGACTTTTCGCATTTGAGCAAAGAATTTTCCGAAGATGTTTACGAACCTGCAGAGGATACGTTTTTGATGTTAGATGCACTAGAGACAGATTTGAACTTCATATCCACACTTAGGCCATCTATTTGCGTAGAAATTGGCAGCGGCTCAGGTATCACATTGACTTCCTTAGCAATGGCTATAGGAAATTCTGCATTTTATTTAGCCACGGATATAAACGAGAAAGCTGCGAACTGCACATATAAGACGAGCACATCTAATAGCGTCAGTATTGATGTCACTGTCGATGATTTAGGTAGAGCCCTGCTACCTAGATTAAAGAATCTTGTTGATGTCCTTATATTCAATCCACCATACGTAGTTACTTCTTCAAATGAAGTAGGTGGTAGGTCAATTGAGGCTTCATGGGCAGGAGGTTCTGATGGAAGAGAAGTCATTGATAAGTTTTTGCCTATCGCTGCAAAGTTGATCTCAAAACCAGGTGCATTTTACATGGTTGCTATAGACAGAAACAAACCAATGGAAATTATCGACAATATGAAAGCCCTTGGACTTTCTGGGAATATAGTTTTGTCAAGAAAAGCTGGAATAGAGAATTTGGTTATTCTTAAGTTTACGAAATATATATAGATTGAACATTGAATTGTTGTTTTGTACATCACTTTTTGTTCTTATTACATTAATTCTAGATGCAGTTGATCATTTTTCTGCCCTTATTTTGATTTTCTTTTTCAACAGCTGGTTTTGCCTGTATGATTAAAATAACTGATATCATATTTACAAAAGCCATTAAATTGTTTTTCAACTCAGGAGATGAAAGTTGCCCAAAATATCATCAACTGAACAAACTTGTGTTATTATCAATCAAAGTTAATTTTAATGATTTAAAGAAGCTCTATTTCAAAAAATCTTGCAATACTTTCTTGTGCAAAACATTTAAAGTTTCTTATTTAAATATCATTTATAAATAATTGATCCTTGAAATGTAGTTTTTAAACTTTGTCAAACTTTTGTCAGTTACTATCTTTATGGAGTAAAAATAAAAACAAGTTTTCAAATTTTCAAAGCAATTTTCTGTACCAAAAGTTGGTATGTGCATATTACATGCAATTTAATCTTCTTTTCAAAACGCCATTCATTATATTTCTTGATGACTTAAAGTTAAAGCTAGCATTTTACTTTGGTTATTAAGTTACCTTGAAAAAACAGCCTAGTATTGCATTTCAAAGTCAAAATGCAATACCTTTCAAACCTGCCTTTAAGCTGCACCTTTTCACTGCTCATTTATAATTTACAAAATGAAGTTAATTTTGTTTTTTACATACTGGATGTATGCAATAAGAATAAAAACATAATTAAATATGTTTTTGGTACCATAAAATTAGAAGATGACACAAAATAGTGGAAACATAGCATACTGAAATACTTCTTGTCCAACACTCTTCAAAGAAACCATTCAAAGGAATCAATCAAACACATTTTCTTCTTCTCACTTTCTTTTTGATCCATACCTGGATATAAATTCATCTGATCTCTAAAGATCATAAGATGAAAATTACTCCAGTCATGCTATGTTTGCTTTTATTTTGCACCATCTATAAAATAACACAATGTTGTTATGACCCCTGCAGTGCATTTTTATATTTCATGTTTAAAAGATTACTTAGTTAACAGTTTTAAAATCTTTTTACATAATAAGACTTTTATGTGATTGGATTAAGTTTGTTTTAACCCTTGGACTCTATTTGGTAATATTTTCTATGCACTGATTGTGCAGCCTTAACTGCCATGTCTTGGCATTTCTTATAGGTCTTTTTTCCACAACTGGACATACATATATATTTCTTAACTTTAAATATGTTTTGATTATCATTTGGAAAAGATTTAGTATAATTTTCTAGAATATTTGATTTTTTTCAAAGTCATCTTTAAACTCTGTATTGTCAGATAAAGCAAATATTGAATTGTTACACTACTTATAGATTTTGAAGGCTATGCTGTAAGCAGTGGCTCAATTCGTTTTTTAGATGGGGGCAATGCCCACAAAAACAAGCAAATTTTCCCACAAATGACATAATTTACAGACAAAAGCATGTATTAACCGACAATTTAGCAAAGCTTGGAGCACTTGCCCCCCCCCCACAACCCCACAATTTCTGCCACTCGCCACAAGCATGCTCTAAAGTAATGGCAATTTTCAGTTATGTTGGCTTTTCCATCAACAATTCAAAACCTTTTTACAACATATAATTATCTTCACTACTGTTCATTTTTGTCCAAAATATTGAAATTATGCGAAATTGAACAATTACTACTGAGAAAGCATATTTTCAACCCCCTTTTTATGTATTCAATATATTTATATGGTTGTACTGGGTAAGAAAACTAGTTAACATCGAAAATGTAGTTCTTACTGCTTGTCTTCTCCATTCAGTACTAGATATTTTACTGTAATATTTTAGTATCATCCACTCAACTACAAATATCTGATTTGATTTCCATTATAAAAAAAACATTGTTTGCTTTTAGTCACCAGTGATTGATAAAATACATGCAGTTATATATGCTGAAGAGTCAGATAAGTCATATTCAATCAGGGACCTTAACACTGCACACGGCACATATGTCAATGAATGCAGAGTACAGAATACACCAGTAAGGCTTACCAATGGCGATGTCCTTCAATTTGGATTCAGTAAGTTCTTTGTTTGTATAATTTCTTAGACTTCCAAACCCTTTAATTTGTTCTCTTTTTTTTTAAAAGAAGTTAAAGATGCAATTTAGATTACTGTGGACAAGCAAAAGGAGACATTGATGAACTTAAACAAATCTCAATTTTCTCTTTGTAACCCAAAAGGAAATTCATTTCATTTTATCTTCATGACAAATAGGTGATGTATTTGCTAAAATAAATCCTACTGTTTAGCAGGGACAAGTTTAGCTTTCCTTAGCAAGGCTATCACTAGCTATTGAGTTCAAGTGGGGGTTCATATTTGCCAAAGATGTGGATGAACCATCATTTCTTTGCTGACAAGTTTGGATGTTGTTAAGGAAGCACCCATGCATGGCAAAGAACTCCTCGTTTTTGCAATTAAATGTTTTTCAAAGGGATGTCACACCCCATGCCACAATATAGTGAGAGCCCTTTTTCTAAGATCATTTGGATTGGAAAACATTTCATCACTCCTTTCTATCTGCTAATCGGAAACTAAAACATGATAGTAAGAAAAGCTTGCTATGACTTTAAACTCTTTGAAAGTTTGAACAACAATTCTGTAAATTTACCATTTGAATTGAGTTTAATTCTATGATATCTTTTACGTGTTTCTTACAATTCTTTTTGATTAAAGTTGCATAAGTTTGAAATAATTATCTAATATTAGCAAAGCTTCTGGAAATCTCAAAAGGAAACCGCATCTTGTAAAGAAGACCCTGTCCAAGAAAGAACATTTATAACATATTTGCTCATATATTCTTTTTTCTTATGATTTCATTCGTGGAAGGTTGTAAGAAACGTGCAATCATAAGAATAAAAATTCTTATGATTGCAAAGTGCTTACAAGTAACAAGAATTCAAAGAAATTTGTGACACTCACTTAAATTGTGTTTTTGTATAGTTTTATATCTATTTGCCACACGCAGACAATCTGTTTGATCCTCTCTGTGATCTTTATTTTTGATGCATGATAAAGTTTTAAAAATTGATGCAAAAAGTTTCTGAATGCCCAGCTAGATTGCATAGATAATTGATCTTAGATATAAATTTTCCTCATCAAATGGTCCAAAATATTTCAATTGTGAAATTGAGCTTTTTTAAGTTGAAGAATTTTCAGACCTAGTCAATCCCAACTTAGTTCTGCCCCTTTGATTTGGATAACATCTTTTCTAGGTGGACCATTGTTTGACCTGAAAATAGGTTCTGCTGCAATCTATCCGCCTGCTCATCAAGCATGGAATGTGACACAAACCTATCCAAGCAGTGGAGAATTGGCTCAGGATACTACACATCTGCCCCCAATTGCAGTACCCTCAGCCCCGACAGGTCCAAGCTACCAGTACCAAACAACAAGCACTAGCTTGCCATATCCACCGGCTGGGAATGTGTCTTATGGACAAGGATACTTCGATGCCAAAGCAACGGTAGACCTTTGTTGGGAAAATCACCCAATTGTTTTCAAACTAATTGACGTAGATAAGTTTTTATAACTAGCCCTATACCAGGCCTGGCCGTTTGTATTTTTATAGGTGAGCTGTGAATTGCTCCCCTCATTTGCTGTGGCGAGCTAAATCAGTAACACATAGAATGTACTTTAAAGACAATCGCCCCTTTTGTATCTGTCGGTTGCCTTTAATAGCCTCAGTCAGGAGTATGCTGTTTTACTTCTTTCAATTTGCATTTGCTTTAACCGTGACTTAGGCACCCCTTTTACTTGAAGTTTTTTAAAAGAACAGACTCTTTCAGTTTCATGTAAAGCTGGCACAACACAAAAACAACAATTCTCTTGCAAAACAATCTTTTTGTTGCACAGAATTTGAAAATGGCTTTGAAAAACAAATTTTGAAACAAACTTAAGTTACACGTCTAGCAATCTTCAGAAAATAAAACGTCAGAACATAGATGGAAAACTCTACGCTAAAATACCCAGTTTTGGATCGAAAAAGGCCAATCAGAAAACTCGAGCACATGACTGTTGAGGTTGTCTATTCAGTGCCGCTTTCCTATTGAAAATGTTACCAACGGAGTCCTAAGGTGAAAACGAACTCACTTATGTCTACACAAAAGCGGTCGGTCATGTTTATGTAGAAGATAGGTTCACAAACTAATAGATGATCAGGCTTTGCAAGTAATGCGAAACATTTCACCGTTATAGTTTTTCACCCAATCTGGGTTTTTCAGTAAATGCTGCTGGATAGTGGAATTCCATGTTTTGGTTGTCGTTTTTGATCTGCAAGACAGAGTACCTTGTTCTCTTTGCGAAATAGTTTTGTTTCTATTGCTGGAAGGGACCTGCTGTCTTATTATATCCCCAATCTACAATTCCTATCAATTTCTTCGACTTTCCTTTCAAAAATATTCCTTTTTTCTTTAGATTGAAAGATTCTAATCGCTATAAACGTACCTTTCAGTTAACTATCCTTTTCTGAATAGATCGAAGTTTATGCCTATCATAACAAAAACCGCCCAACAAGCAAAAAGTTAATTGCAAAAATGCAATGACAGGAGAAATCGCTGTTACAAGAATAAACCAATTAACCCTTGTACATTTTCAGGGTTCTCTGAATAGGAAAAGGGCAAATGAATGGAAATTTTAGGGGAGCGATTCTCCTTTCATGTTTTGTTTAGGAGAGCAATTCATAGCTCGCCTCAGGTTGCGAGGGGAGCGTGGAGGCTATCGCTTGCCTGTAACGGCCAGGGTTTGCTATACCTTTTCAATATTCAACACGAGTTTTAGGGCTATCTAGAAACTATCCAGAAATTTCCTGTTGTTAATAGGCTGTAACATTAGCTACATACTTTTTTTCTATTTGGTTTTTACTTTTCAAAGCTATAGACTACAAAAAAGATATCATCAAACATTTAATGCTTTTAATGTTGCTTTCTAATACAGAAATTTTCACTAAATGTAAAAGCGGTCGTCAATCTACTTCCATTATTGCTGCTACTTGCAAACGATTTAAAAGTTCGGAGCTTGTCAAATGTCTAAATGTCAAATGATTCAACATATGGAATCCTTCAGGCTTATTGATGAATCTATGATTATTCCATCACAAAATTTAGAATAATTGCAGTGCGTGTTTTTGCGCTGTTGAATCATATTTTTGCGCTCATTTATTTCCTAGATCGCAGACGGGATCATCCCACACCCACCTCTGCCCAGTCGAAATGCAGCTGCAAAGCACTCGAGACCAATATCTGCTGGGGGACTATCATCGTCAGGTAAATCGAAGCTCTATGTAAACAAGCAATTTCAAATTAGCAAACAGCGATTTCTGACGTAAGAAGAATTTCAATTTTTCCGAAAGAAACTAATTTCACAGTATCAAAAGAAAAAAACATAGAAGGGCTACGTTTTAGATTTTTTATAGAAAATTGCAGTATATAATTTTAGTGTGACGTCGCCTTAAGTGAACGACAAAAGATGTTATTTGATATTTTTTTACACTGTTATCTTCAAAAATACCTTATAGATTTTCTTTCATCATTTTCCCCATAGGTCGGTGGGTCTTCAGTAAGAACATAAAGATATGACTGGAGAAGAAAAAGCCAATGAATTAGTATGCTTCCCTTTTTTCTTTCTTGTTTGAAAGTTAAGCTATTGTGGTAATGTTTAATGTGAAGATCGAAAAGGAAGAGCCCTTTTCCGGTAGCAGAAGCCTAATGAGGCCCAACATTTTTCCCCCTCCCTGCCTGGCTGCCAGGGAGGACAGAAGCAGGGCCGTCGCGAAGCAAGCCTTGTTGGGAGGGGGGGTGTGGACTACAAATTTACCTGATTAACAAATAATTACCTGAAATTCTTAAGTTGCTGTCACAAACCTCTGGAATACATTTTGCCAATCTAACTGTGTGCCATATAATTCACAACATTCATTTTAAAATGATAATAACGGACTTTCCTAATAGTTTTGCCAAATCTGTATACCGGGTCGGGCAACTACCCGAGGCGGCACCATGGTTGCCGCCGAAGGAGCAGAAAATTTTCGAATTTTGATGCTTCCAGTTCCTTGGAAAATGCACTCTTTTAAGCAAATTTTACTGAAGCAATCCTTCTAATCCTACCGAAAATTCTTTTTTTTGCAAACAAATTGAACAGCAGATAAAAACAACTGGTACAATTTCGCCGTGGTCTTGTTGTCAGTTACTTCTAAAGCTAGGTAACAAGCAGCACTGGTTGCCAATTTAAATACCTCTTTCCATCTTAGCATGCCTTTTTAGGGGAAATGGACAGAAGACACAATTTTACCTAAAGAGTGCCTGGATTTTTAGCTTTTGTGCCAACAAGAAATCTTCAAATCTTCAAGTCATTAGTTTTCAACTAATCTTCAAAACTTCATGTTAATACACGAAGCTCGCTGAAATACCTAAAGCATTTCTTCCACTGGGCGGATTTTACCTGAAATTTCCTATCGAGATACTATTTGGGGGGGTGTGACACCCCCACACCCCCCGGTCGCGACGCCCCTGGACAGAAGGCAACATTCCAAACCATTGGTCAGACTTGGATTCCAACTCACAACCATCAGCACAGCAGTCAAGTATTCTAGCTACTGCCCACCTTGCCGCAAGCGGTAGCGAAACCATAAACATTTCTTCGGAGGGGTACTGAAAGGATTTTTGCTGACAAAAGAAACTTATCTCCTTTTTAAGGGTGTGGTTGTTAAATTAATATCATTTGCTACTTTTATATGTTTTTATTTCAATTTTCAGCATTTGAAAAATTCAATTCAATTATTTTATTACGATACTTTGAAATGCAGCAGCAACAAAAACTTTAATAAGTTAAAATTGTTGAAAAAAAGCTACAATTAAACTACAATTAAGCTACTACAGCGCGAGTAAACTTATCCGAAAGTTTACTTTGAAACCTCTTTCTAAAGTGTTCATAAACGAATTTCTCGCCATGAACATACCTTCAATCTGTAAAGTTGCTTTTTGTCAATAGGAGCAACAGTTGCTGAAAATGGGCTTTGAACTGAGACGTCTTGCATTGTTTGAAACCGAATGCAACCGCAAGGATGGTGAAATTGTTAGCTTACGCAACGAAATTGCAGATCTGAGGTCAATTTTGAGCAAAAAGGAAGATGAGTTTCGTAGGTATGCATTGTGGCAAAATATTACTTTGATGAAATATTACTATTATTATGATAAGGTTTTATGATATGGTGTTATTTAGATGACAAAGAAGATGGAGCGGTGTTACAATTTATTCTAGTAACTCAATTTTATATAGATGATGGCTAGCTTATAGTTTTTGGCTGTCTGATTAGGATTTCTTACAATTTACAATTTTGTCGCTAGGATATTTAAATGCTCGGTTACCGTATTTCCGATACCAGCATTATTTTCTCAAGGTTGATGACATAATGACTTTTTTTCATCAGGTTTGGGTTAGACTATAAGTACTCTGGCGAGTCCATATACTCACAACATGATTCTGATATGTTGAAAAATGTCATCCAAGAGAAGGACGATTTGAAAAGACACAGCGCACATAAGCTAGCCTTACTCCAGAGTCAGTTGAATCAAAAGAACAAGGAAATTAAGGACCTAGAAGAAAGGCTGGACGAAGTGGTATGACCATGTTACATTTGATTCAGTTCAAGGGCTTTATTAATTAAACCTAGCCTTAATCATTTCGATGTTTTGATATTCATTTAGTTAATGGCATCGAGTCTTTATAAAAGGAGTGGTTCTACCCGAATTTGCAGAGTTATGATTCTCATACTGCAATACTTTTGGTGGACCTGAGACTGATCAAGTGCACATCTCTTGTACTGGCTTCAAAAATGTTTTCCAACGGCAAGTTGTAATCAATGACGGCCAAATCCACATGAAACTACAGTAATCGCATGAAACGCAAATGAGTCCCTTCAGAGGACGCCTACCTATCACGACGTAATGCCTTTAATTAAGATCAAAGGCAGAAAGTAATCTGAAAAGCGTGGTTGCAAAATTTTCTGCTTGCTACGCTAGCAGGGTGCCTCCAAATATGCGTTTCTGCCTTGTAGATGCTGCTTGACTGCAGTTTTTTGCTCATCATTAAGTATTATTTAGAAGAAAATGTCATGGAGCTTCAGATGTGTATCTAAAATTAAGCGCAAGTTGTCTAGACCTGACTACGCAAGGGAACTGCCCTTTATTTTTCTACTGAGTCGATACTTATTGAATCTTCATAGTTTGAGAAGTAGTCATGGGAGATAATGTAATTTTATGAGATTTTGATCTTCTCTCCAAAATTGATTTTTTCCTAAAGTGATCCATAAGAAGGTCTTCATTCACCTAAACAAGTCAAAACTAAACTAGACTGATTAAACTGAATAATGTTGCCTAGGCACTGTTTTCTCTGTGTTGAGTCTCCATTAATTCTCCTATAATTTTTCTTACCAAGCTTGCTGGAAAATCATCAAGGCAATACCCAGATGCATCAACCGACGTAATTGCCTCACTGAAGTCGACATTAGCTCGTAAAGACCTTCAAATCGCTCAGCTGCAGACTGATCTTGAGAAGAGTAACAAACAGAAAACTCAATCAGCTTCCTTGGTAATAACATTACAAAGAGAAATTTCAACAAAAGATGCTCTTGTTCAAAAAAGCAATAATGAAGTTGACAGATTGAAAAGGGATAATAGAGAAAAGGAAAGCCAAATAGCCTTACTCTCTGCAAAGGTATGATAGGTTGAAGAAATAACTCTTTGTTTTTATATTAAAGTGCTCTGACACTAGCCGATGAAGTATCCATTATTTTCGCTGTATCTCTTTATCTGTTTCCTTCATCACCAGGATAATAGCTCGTACCTTTCAGCAACTGATCTAGGATTATCATTTCAGAAGAAATCAATTCTTTTTTTAAGCTATTCTAAGCTATTTAAGCTTCTCGAGTTGAATTGCTTTTTCTTGCCCCATATATTTGTGAGTCCCCTTTTCCACGGGTAAATATCAGTGTATACATTGAGAAAGATAATTTGCCTTCTCTTTAATCATAAGCTAAAATATTTTTTTGGACAATCGATATTAATATATGTTTAAACGTGAACAGTTTTACCTAAAAACTATATTTTTTGTCATGACACTTTTATTGTCATAAATCGTAGCCTTTCAAGGGCCCTCATTGATAAAAGTGCTTTGTTTATTGAAGAGAAAACCCTGTATAAACATTGTTGTTATTATTATTATTATTCCTTCTGTATATATGCTATTGTCGTTTGTCATTGCCTTATCATTCAGAGTATCCATTATTGTTGATCAGGTTTATAAGGTGCTATCGTGTCATTGATTCTTTTATCGTTATGTTCATCAGTTCCATTTGCATAATCATTTCATGGCAGTTGTGCTTAACATTCGTAATCTAGACACAAATCTTAACCATTGCTTATATGAACTTGTTAACAGTGTAGCATTCAAAGTAAAAGCATAGATTTGACGATGTTGCCTGCAATGTGAAATCTATCTTTGTTTCAGATCACGAAACAGAGAGCCAGCAAGGAAGTAGAGAAAGATTTTCGTAGAAAGGAAGAAGAACTTGGTTCCTTTCGACAGGTAAGCATTCCAAATATGCCGTTAGCGATGCTAGCAGTTGCTCGTTTTCATTACAAGAATCAATGTTAATTCCGTATATGTCCAGGATATTATATTACTTTTAGTAGATGATGTGCCAATGAAACTATAATTATGATAATTGAAAAATCCAGGGTTTTCAATACACCGGCGTTGGGTCTGTTGTACTCTCACGTAGCGCCATATCAGAAAATCATACCGCAAGAACTTAGAAATCTGCGTCTCTCGTTCGCATATTTTGTTAAATTGTCTGTACGATTTGATTGTAAACCAAACTGGTTAGAGATATTCTGTCCCACCTTTTCCTTTTTATTAATCTAATTTTCTACTGTTTTTTTGACAGAAATTGTTGAATGCAGATCATCAAATTCAGGATAAGATAACAACAATTCATAAAATGGAGAATGAAATCGAAAATTTGAGAAGAATTATCGATGAAGGCAAACAGGTTTGATAATTTTCCAGTACACTGAATTTATGAAATATCGAATGCAGTTTAGATGTAGAAGTTATTGGTGTCAGTAAATGTATATTTTATTTGTTGAAAAATATTCAGTTGTTCCTTTACTAATGTAATAAATAATTAATTTGTTTCTTTTTTTCTATGCATTCAATCTGTGGCTCTGTTCGCTTGCTCTTTTCAGCCATGTGCGATTCGGCTGTATCATCTCGTCATAGTTGTGCCCTTAACAAACTTTTTATCGTTGAATTTGTCTGTGAATCATTCCAATATATAGTTTTATATTTCTTGGCAAATCAATTTGTTTTAGAATGATGTTCACATGCAGAAAGAACTGCAAAACATGCGAATTCAGTATGTGGAAAAAGAGCGAGCTGATAAATCAAACCGGATAGAACTCAAAGAAATGCAAATCAAGGTACTTGTATCACATTTTGTTTACTTTTTTGCTTAACAAGGGAAATATTGCGTCGTACTGGTTCGGAAACTAAGAACTTAGTGGGAGTAAATATCTTGATATACTCACTGACAAATTATTGATTAGGTTTTGCATATATTGAAGAAGATTCAAGTAAAATCAAATGTGTTGCTCAAAATCCTATGTTGTCTTTATTTAATTTTTGTTAACTGTAAGGAATCTATTGAAAGTTTTAAAGTGCGTAGAGAAGAAATTAATCTTACATAGATACTTTTTCCTATATATTTCATTTAATTGTGAATCTTTTCTTTTTTTACAGAGAGACACATTTATGAACGAATTATCACGTATTGTTTACGCCAGTGGTCTAGTAAAACCAGACAAAGATATTCATGAAGAAGATTTCATTAAGATAATTGAAAAAGTCATCGATGAGAGAACGAGCCTAAAATTAAGGGCTGATGAACTTTATGGGTATGAAAAGGAGGTAAGAATATGTTTAATCTTTTACAGTAATCAGATTTTGAAGCATTCAACTAGTCGTAAAAAGTTAAGAATATACAGTTTTTTAGCATAGTTTAACTGCTTGTATATAGAGGCTTTTCTTGTTTACAGTTGAAACATTACGCGAAGGAAGATGAGCACTATCGACATGGCCTTGAGAAGTTCCTTACGTCGATGGAAAAAAGGCTGATTAGAAATGGTAGACTTTGCGAATCTCTTGATGATGAGATCAGGAGTATCCACGATCTTGATCTGACTGGCAGCCTATCATGGATCAAGGTATGTGTGCTAGCACTGTTACTGAGTTTTCGTAAAATAAAGCAATTCATTCTTATACTAATTGCAAGTGTTTATGATAGTCTTGTTGCGATTGAGCTAAATTTAATGCTATTTGAACCAACTGAATGGTCAGTGTGGTCGGTGGGTAAAGTGGGAAGGGGGGTTTTGGAGGCGAATGAAGGTCTGGGGGCAGACAGGGGGGGAAATGTCGTGAGGGAGAAAATCCGTCTTGAGGGAAAAATGTTTCTTACCTATTTCTAAAGAAGGTTTTTTATTAATAACTTACCAATATGTTTTTTGCCGATATAGAAATAATATAAATGCATCTTATTTTATTCTGCAGGATGTAATTATTGGTATTTTGGAACAAGAAAGGAATTGGGAGCAAAGCATAGAAGATGCTTTGCTGGATGCAGGGATGGAAGTTGACAGGGGAAAAAAAGAACCCCCTCATTTGATTAGAAAAATGAAGGAAAGAATAATGAAAAAGAAAGAGAAGATTGTGAATTTGAAAGCCAGGTATGTTTAACGTGTTCAGATATTGTAGCTTAGCTACCAGATTCACTCTATAGGAAATAGAAATGAATTGATCTAGAGTGAGTCTCTCTCTCATTTTATATAGTGAGTCTGGTAACCAGGGTAAGGTATTTGTCGCCCGGAACGTCTAAAACCGAAACGATCTTAACTCTCTTTACAATCTCATTGGTTATTCTATATTAAGATATGTTATGAATTTATCTTTAGCTCTTCCATTTAAATGTTATCTTTTAGTAAGGAGCATGGCAAAGAAAGCTGAATTGTTACGAAAAGTTGGCCTTATTTCTGCGTTATTTTAGCCGCAAACGGCATCGTTATAAACCCACAAACAGTGTTGAGCTTTTTTGTTAAATCTTTTTTCTGAATTCAGCTGTCAATTGGAAGAGATCGAGTCAATATTTCAGAAGATTCTCTATCTTAAAATGCTGTTATTTGTAAATTTGCAAAACCTGCAGTTGAGCTTGTTACAATCGATTTGCAATATTTTAGATTTGTGAAGGGCTTGCAAAATTATAAAGCAAATGGAGTTCAGAGGGTTGGTTGTCCCAAAGACATAGACAGAAGGAGTTTACATGCCACTTCCTAAGGCTTTTGTGCAGAGATTTTCATGACAATCAGTTGGATGCAACTTTTAACTGTTTCTAGATTTCAAAATGTGACAGAATGTTTGTCAATTTTGTAATGAAATGCACAAACAAGCCTCTCTGCTAAATCGAAGAGAGTAGCTTTGCACACAACAAAAGGTGTCATTTTTTGAGTTCGCTTAATAACTATCTTTGAACTTTTTGCTTTTTCTTTATTCGATAATTGTGTCTACTTGTTCCAGACTGAAAGCTGTTGGTGGCGAGCACGAAGAATCTTTGAAGAACTTCAAGACCAAGTTTCTGCAGGATACGGAGGAGGAAGTTACCAAGGCAGTTGAGAAATTGAAACGAGATGAAGAGAAAAAGATACAGGACCTGAGCCACGAATTTTTGAAAAGAGAGAAACAGAAAATTGCAGAGGCCATTGAGACAGAGAGAAAAATCTTCGAAAGGGAATTTGGAAATTTGACCGAGCTTCATAAAGTATGTTTTAAAGATCTATACCTATACTATTTTCTAGAATTTTTGCTAAACCGTTAATTTAAATGGGGATGCGAAGAAAGTGTCAATCACGCAAACCATCCCTAAAAGGACACACATATCTTGAATTATCTAATCTTCTTTGCTGCTACAAAAGTTTTTGGAAGCTCGTTTCAGGAAAATTTAATCTTCCTGAAAATTTTAGAATGTTCTCCAGTGATGTTTCTTAATTTTGCAGTTTGATAGTTAAGATGTCCTAAATTTGATGTTATTATTTATCATCTCTATTTTTGTTTGTTTTCACAGCAATTAGGCCAAACACAGCTCGCTATCGACCAGCATAAAAGCAAATCGCTTACATTGGAAGACCAAGTTTTGCAGCTAAAATTTGCAATGGAAAAAGCCCAACAGAATGAGGTTGATACGTTAAAGAATATTGATTACTGTGGCAATATCATCAATGTTGTAGACTGTATATGAAAGTACATTTAGAAATCTGTACAGAATACCACACATAACTTTATTAAGAGAATTACAATGCGAGATTATGACATGTCTGTAATCTGTATTTTTTTGTATTTTTAATAGAATGAATTGAGAAGAGAAATTGAAGAACTTCATGTGAATCATAAAGTTCAACTTGAGGCTGTTAATCAAGACAAGGAAGAAGTGAAGCAGAAATGTTTGGAAGAGATCAATGTTTATAGAGTAAGTGCTTGAAGTGCTTCTAATGTAAAAAATAACTGTAATTTAAAAGAAACATTTTACCATTCTGGGTTCAATTCTTTTTTCGGAATTGCTTTATCGTGTCCCATTTTTTTTCTATTGCTGTACAAAGTTTGACCTAAACTGTAAACGAAGTAAAGAATCTGTGACGTAATTGGGGGCCTTAAAGTCACGTGGTTTGATTCAAATAAACGGCCGTAGAGGTGGCGTTGACAACAATTTCCACGAATCGAGTTCTAGTTGGTAACAATATCAAGTTAATAACGAAGCTAAATATATATAGAGAAAGTTTATTCATAAAGCCCTGTTCATTTTTCGCCCTCTGTGAGCTCTTCAACATGATCATAATCGTTTCTGTGTGGCTAGGCTAAATCAAATCAACGCATCAGACAGCTTGTTGTGGCGGCGGCTTTCTAACACTGATTCAAAACATGTCAAAATAGACGCTATTTTTCCTGGTTGTGTTATGTCTAAACATTCCTCGTCATGAGCGTTGCTTTCGCCTAATTTACAACACTCGCTTTTGCTCCATCCCATCGCTAGCCAGATGGGCTGTTATCGTGCTGGTTCATTAAGCCTATTGAATTTTCATTTTCCCTGAGCAACATCAGCAAAACCTCCTGACGTCACTGGAGACATGCTTTGTTTTGCCTCTATTCTGTGTTTTGGCACTTTCCGAGCCTTTTAACAGCATATTCACATTCTATCTCTGGGAAATAGTTTAATTCATCAAAATCAACGAAAAATTTCACATTGGTTTCAAACCAAAAAAATGTGTTGATTTTTGGACTTTAGAGGCACTTTAAGAAAGTTCAATGTCAAGTTAGATGCAATAAACAAAATCTTGACATTGGAGTTCAGTGGGACCATCTTGACACAAATTCCAGATCGAGCCAGAAACAATAGTGGGAGGTTATCTGGAAAATGCTATGGCACCTAGTTAAGATGATTCACTTTTAGAACTTCTAAGGTGATTTGGTATTTTTCTTAGCGTATATTACATGTCTCCCATTACCAAAATGATAACTTTGACATTTGAAACACATAATTGCAGGAACAAGCCCACCAATACAGTCTGACAATTGTTGCACTTGAGGATAAGTTACTGAAGCTCAGCAAAAGCAGGAAAAAAACGGATGACGATCTAACCTACATGAAACAGTACAGAGGTAGGCAATCGAGCTCTGCAATCATGTGAACTATTGTTCTAAATATTTTGCTTAAACATATGTCTAGTGGAAAGGAAAATCAATGATGATCAATGACAAAGTTCAGAGTTGGCAGGAAATAGCGAAAACATATAGTACTCTCAAGTACTTTTCTTAAGTCACTCACTGTCGGATTCTAAGTGTAGATGAAAGACAAAGTGAGCGGAAAAAGACGCGTTTAATTGGTTCTCTCTTCCGCTCGCGTTACTTTATCATTGTTTTGTTTAATTTGCAGCTCGAATAGATAGCTACCTCTTGGTCTTTATTTTTGTCAAAGTTATGCATAAAAATTTATCAATTTTTTCTAAATTTTTATAGATTCTTAAGTCAAAGTTATGCACAAAAGTTTATCAATTTCTTTTATCTTTTTGTAGATTCTTTTTCACTCACCGGTAAAACTTCACCTCGGCCTAAAAGTCCAAAAAGAATGATATCAAGGCCAACCTCGCCTCGAAAGGTTTACAAACGAGATGCTGCTAATTTAACGGACATATCTTTATTGGAACAGGATGTCCGAAGAAAAGAGGAGATTGAAAGATTGGAGCAGCTGGTCATCGCTCTCAGGTAGTTGTTGTTACATGCTCAAACATTCTAAGGCTCTGTCAGTTGCAACGATTAATGAATTTATGCATTTGATAGGTTTTATCGTGTGAGAAATAAGCAGTACAAGATATTGAATAGTACTTGTTAAGCACCATAATGTAATCAAGACTAAAAATAATATTATAATACCATAAGTCTAATAGTCTGAATGAAATCTTAAGTGAAACCGTTCCCTTACTTTATATGTTTCAAATCAATTAAAAGTCTGAATCCAAAATAAACTGCACTGGCACTGTTGAGCCGTGTAAAAAATTGAACCGTAGTATTCAATTTTGTTAGTAAGTCTTCATGAAAATGTGTATTTTAAACAACTAGTATTAATTATGATCAACAATCATATGATATTATGATTTGGTAAGAATAATATTATAAACAGCATGAAATAAACAGCCAGTCTTTTTCTAGGCAATGTTACGATAGATTTTATAGGATACTACTAAGGCTAAAGCAAGGTCTTATCAATCAAATCCCTCTCGTGTTTTATTGATATAAACACGTAACATAAATAATTGAATCTTATTAAAGCTCTTGTGATAAAGGAGTTTTGGCACCATTTCACCTTTAGTGTGAAATGATTTTGCATTCAGGACTACTTGGCCCTAACATCAATAGTCGTATCGAAATGTTTTCTATCGCTGTTTCTATTCTTTACATTTATTGAAGTAGAATTTATCGATAGAACTGTATGAAATTAGATATAATCAATTGAAAATAATTGCACTTTGTATTCCCACGTGAGAAACAAATGGAAAAACGTTCTGATGACGATAATCATAATGATGCTTGGAACACGATATTTGAGCTTTTCGTTGTGAAACATACACTATTCTACGATTGTTCATTTTTATGATAGACTATAGGGCTACAAATGAAATGTAGATACTTCTAGAGCCCCTGTCAGCTTGGCATCAGCATTTGCTCGATAAGCAAATAAACCAAACAAAGTGATCCTTAGATATGCAAAGACTTGATTTTTGTTTGCTTTTTGGCGTATGCCTTTTCACTAAGGAATTGGCAAGTAAATTAAAACCAGTATTTGTCAACAAATAAATATAACGAGAACAGTTGAACAGAGATTGGTTTGATCAACAGAAAATTTGTTTTGAAATTCCATCTAAGAGGCCAGTATTTTTAAGGGGATTCATAATGGGCATTGGTACGTTCAACATATGCCAATGCTCCGGCATTTGAACGGTATTTTGTCGAAGAATTCTTCAGCATCGCTTTACGATAATTGTGTTTCGAGATGACCTCGTACTCGTACAGTCAGATCGTGCAATGGAGGTAGGCTAATAGCTAAATATCATTCCCAGACGACTTAATGTATATCTCTTAAAACATTTGAAATTATTAATATGATATCTAGCTTCCACTGCTTTGTTTTTCAAAGTTTTTCCTACAACTTTTGAATTAGTTTTCCTGCAAATCTTCCTAGAAATTAAGACATCTATACGGAATCATCGTTTCTATTAGTAATCTTTCAATGGCATTGTCTGTGGGATCGAATTACGATTAAATCTACGTTAGAACTAATATGTATAATTTTACCTTTTAAGGGAGTTAATTATCGGCTTGAGGTACCGCAAACTATTAAATTGTGATTCATTTTGATTCAGTTTTTATTTAAATTTATACTCGATTGTTCTAACGTAGATTTAGATATTGGCCGAAAACTATTCCAACGCACAAAAGACCTGCTTTCTTCAAAGACATTCATTAAACACATTTCAGTCCAAAATGTAGCTGTGCCGAACTGAAACTGCAAGGTCTTCTGCCTGTATTCGAAATATTCAACCCCTAAGATCGAGACGTTTACGTCATTTTTGCCGATTGTATATTTTTCTGATGACCATCCTTGCAAGGAGTCTCACATTGAAAATATCAAGTACCCCTACATATGTCTTAATATAAGCACTATTTTATCAATAGATCCGTTTCTTGTTATGTTCTCCTAATTATTAGCCCAATAGCTCGATATCACAAAGTTTTTTTAAAATGACATCGTGTATTCCCACAAATTCCCTCTATATGCTACTCTCTTTTAGAAAAATGTTATTAATGAATTTTTTCTGTTATTTATTGATATCTTCTGCCATTATAGACTTCTCGACAATATTAATGGCTGTTAAAATGTAAAATGTTGACTCTCCATTTTTTAGTAAAATGTTAGTACAATTTCATTTTGTTAGTATTTATCCAATTTACTGGTCTCTTCCCTTATCATCTTTTTTTATGGAAACATGAATATCGTTATTATTTCTACCCCTTCTAATTTTACCATAAACTACCCCTTCTGATTGTATTCTTTAAAAGGTGTTGCATCTAGCTATGAGTGTGCCTAAGTTTATAGCATATGCAACGATTTTGTAGAAGCAGTTGTTTCATACCCGGGAGAAGTTGCTTTCACTTTTGGCCTGAAATGAAAACGAAAGATGTTTTTGAGCTTTGTATTTAAGAGAATTACAGCGCCACATTTTACGTTCCAGGAAGGAGGCAGGCGACGCAAGGAGACAAACCAATGAACAATCAGAAGTCGTCAGGGGACTGAGGCGAGATTTAGCAGGAGCTTCAGCAAGGCTTTCAGATATAACAGGTGCAGTGGAAATCTTCATTTTCCTCTTTTAATTATTTTTTGCCACTAGGATCTATGAATTTTGGTGAAATTTTTCTCTAACTTTTGATAAAAGCACTAAGGATTTGGTGATATAATTTTAATCTGAGGATTTTCTATGTAAAAGGTTGCGCCCAACGTGGAAAATGCTAACAGCAAAAGCCTAAGTAAGGGTAGATTTTCTCGTCAATTTTCAAAAGTATTTCATAATTTTTCGGCCTTGGTTGCGATTCAGACCTTCGGTAAGCCAAGTGCAATATGAATCCTGCAATCTTTCTTCTTTGATTCTTCAATTAGATGGTAGATTGGGGGTGGCTGATGGGTAAAAGCAAGAGCTTACTTTCGGTCATTATTCAATGTTTATACGCTGCAGAGTGTCAGATGAAAAGTGCTTTAGTATGCTATGCTTCCAGTATTTCGTGCAATTTTCAAGATGTGACTTCTATTAATTCATCAAATTTCATCTATTAGTTTATGTATAATGTATCTATCGATTTAAACCGTCTAGGCGAACTCGATGATACTCAGAAACAGAAGATTGAAGAACTACAAACGCGAATAGTGAAACAAGACGAAGAGCTTTTTGTGCAAAGAAAGCAGCTTACTGAGTTATCAGCGCTGCTTGAAAAACAAAAGAAAGAACTTCTAAAGAGAGATGATAAACTGAAAGAACAGATTTTTGTGACCAAAGAACAGGAAAAGAAACTGAAAGAGAAAGGGAAGGAAATTGTTCAGCTGATAAGGACGCATGAGGACAAGGAGGATGAAGGCGATGCAGAAAAATTAGAAATCGCAAAACAGGTAGTTAGACTTTTCTTAAGAAACCTTGGTTTGAGAGTTTAGTTATTTGAACTGAATTGGACAAGCCTAGTTTTTTGAGGGGTTTGCAATTTTTAATCATGATTATTACAATGATCTTTTACATTGGTATCTTGTGTCTCTAGGCCTTTGCCAGCCAAGAAGTTGTAGCAGCTGGAGCTCGTTGCCTTGGTGACAAACACGATCAGACAATCTTGAGACAGAGAGAGGCTATTGCTGAAATGCGACAGAGAATTAAAGACCTTGAACAGTTCCAGCCACCTTGTAAGCCTATGAAATTATAAGGTTTATCATCCCCGCAAAATACCAAGAAACCTTCAAGTTCTGGTTTGCTATTGTTACAGTTTTTATAAATTGTGGCCGCCGTTCCATTGTATCGTCTTTGTTTATTCTTCATTAGCTCAGAATCTAATTGGAAGAATGATAAATCTCTTTGAAAGCCAAATTAGCTAATCTTGTACTTCGAATAAGAAACAAAAGCGGGTAATGGTTTCTATAGAGCCTTTTAAAGCCAGAACTCTATTCATTGCGCTTAGGTACTTTTTTGTCTGACTTTCTTCAAAATAAATATTTTCAAATAAGGTCCAAACTATAGTGGCAAGTTTACATCCAGGTGGTGAATGTTCACGCCTATTTACGCATGCCTTCTAAACACATTAAAAAGCCTAGTTACTGCTTGATATTGATATTTCCATATAACCAACGTTTTCATTTCCGTAAGGCCAAGTCCCTTGCCTTTAAAATTGATTTGCAAATTTGGTTTTAAGATAGCATTTCGTTCACAATATTGTTTTTAAGATAACAGAATGCATGGTAGAGCGATTGAAAAGTCTTATTTTTTGGTTTGGTTATAGATCCATCTCAACAAGCCGCCTTACAGCAAGTAGGTATTATGAAACGGGAACTTGCCGAACTCAGGAGCGAGCTGGCGATTAGGGAACAGGATATGTACAAAGACGAGACCCAACTGCAGTCTGAGGTATTCCCAGTCGAACATCTCCTTCTTTCGACTTTATTCAGCTTGGTTGTCTTTTATTCATATTTGTACTTCAATCTGTCACATTACTTATGTCAGCCACTAGGACTTGGCAGTACTTCCTCTTTTGGTAAAGAGACTGCTCAGAATTTTTCATTTCATATTTTAGGGAGTCTTGAATCAAAATTTCATGATAGGGTAATATTATTCTTTTACCTGTAGTTGCTCCTTGACTGTGTTTGCAGAAAGCCGTACATGACCTGGCCAGTAAAGCTCGATTGTAAGACACGGCACAAGATGTTAATCACAAAGTGCGGTTTTCTCGTTTAAGCAATTAGTTCTCTTTTTCGAAAAGCATATAAAGAAGCCAAATTTTTAATTTTCTTTGCTAACCCAAGATTTTTCAATGCAATCCAACAACATATTAGGATTCATGAATGATTTAATTGTTATGACGTCATTTTTTGCCGTAGACCCGAGTCTCTAGAGAACTTTTGAATTCTGTAAACCAAGAGCTAGCTATTGAAAAACTCGCTCACAACGAAACAAGAGATGCATTGGATATCAGTGAGAGAATTGTAAGTATTGGCTTATTGCTCGCTCGTTTTCAGAGAATTCCGGCTGTTCAAAGAGAGCCTTGTTATTTGGTTCTCTTTGGTATAATAGCTAATTGCAATTGATCTGATGAATTTTAATCGTTGCTCCTCATGTGCATAAACACCATTCTCAGTATCAGTTCCGTAAAGCGTGTTACCTATCTCTGATCTGGTGCTGCTATTTCTTGTGCTTGAAACCATGAATGAAAAGATGTTTATAAAAGGAAAGATTCATTATTGTTAATTCTTCCCCTCTCTCCCTTTGATGCTCCTTTTGCACCTTTGCACAGATATGAATCAAACTCGAGTGAATAGTTTTTGCAGCTCTCTCTATGATCCTAAATTGGTACGAATCAAAAATTCCTTTCCGCCATGATGCAAAATTGCTGCAAATTACAAATGTAAGATGAACACACTGAAATATAGAAAAATATCTATTCTTTTACTTTATTTGAAATCAAATAAAAGCTTTTTATAGTAAGTCAATTCGTTCTTTTTTTATTTCTATGTTTTTTTCAACTTTTGTGTCTTTGTATGTAAAATGTTTTTTACACTTTTGTTCATCAGCCCTATTCAATTTCTTTAGTGATTCTCGTTTGATAAAGATTTTTAGTTATTTCATCTAATTATGCTATAAATTCACAATTTCATTTTGAATCGTTAGTACATTGATCTGATGCGAGCCGTTTGCGGTTTGTTGGACATGGAGGTGCCGAAAAAGGTTGGAACGATAATTCACGTACCACCAAAAGAGAAGGAAAAGCTGATCAATGGAAGGAACAATGTATGTTAGAAAAGTTGAATGTAGTGATTCATTTCTTTATATCATGTATTGAAAAAAAAGTACCAGATAAACGTGGAAAGATGCTGTTCAGCTGTTTTAAGAATTATGCTAATTTACTATGCCAGGACTATAATTAAAATCAATGGAAACTTTTTTTCTTTTTCTGATACTTTCCGATTAATTTATCGTGAGATGTTTACTAGGCTTTGAGGTAAACCTATTCTAGATAAGTGAAAGTTTTATATCTTTGGCTTTCAATGAAAAATACTATTTTACTGTCTGTCACACAGTGTTCAATGCCCTATAGGCAGAGTTCTTCATTATCTTATATCTTAAGACTTGTAACCTGTAAAGACTCTGATTACCGAGTTTTTATCCAATTTGAATAGTTTTCAGAAATGATACACGACAGTGCATGGCATCGGCTTTTTATGATTATCTATTTTGCATAATTATGATATAAAATCCACTGTTTCAGATTTTAGAAACTATAATAAAAAGGCTAGATGCCCTACAGAAAAGACTTGGTCGTAAAGAAAAGTTGCTTGGAGGATATGAGAAAGATTTGACTCAGTTAAGGTAAGAATATGTATCATAATATATCTATCTACCCGTTAATTTTACAATGCTCCATGTCACATAAACTGGACATTACCAGTATTTTTGTGTTCTACCTCTTAGGCTCATGTTGTCACACTAACTGTTACGCTTAAATTCAACGTTAAGCTAATTTACTGGCATAAATATCGATGTCGTATTAATGTTATACACACTGAATGTCTTAAAGCAAATTTTTGCATTTTAATTATTGATAGAAGAGCCAACTAGAAGTCTTTATAAGATCGTCTGGGCTACTTTTTTGCATTCTAAACAATTTTGGTTTTTCTTTGTGCCATTAATTTGAACTTCTTGCAACTAACAGAGACACTGAAGAGCTTGCTGGAAGAAAGTCGGCTGAAACAATTTCTTTGTCGGTGAGCCAAAGTTATCCTTTTAAAAGTGCCTCATACTGCAAAATTCTGGAGACTTGATGTTTCAAAAATCTGAATCTTCACCCTACGTTTGTTTTCATGTGTGGTTAATTTAAATCTTATACTATGCATTCTTTTATGCTATACTATGCATCCTTTTATGTAGCAAATTTTTATCTGATTTTTATGAAGCATAATTTCATCAAATAACTAGTGCTTGGTATAAAAAGTGATTTATTTGTTTTTTTCCCGTTGTAAAATTAATACAAAATGGCTTGGTTTTGGTAAGCTTCATCTTCTGATCTTTTAATATTTTTACCAGACGTCTTTGAGAAGTAAACAGAATGAAATCGACTGCTTGAGAGAAGCCCTGAAAAGAGTGCGCGAAGAGCTGGACCAACAAAAGAGACTGAATAAATCGTTGTCGCAAAGAAAGGTAATCTTTTGATGAAATAGACATTTTTAGTCCAATAAACATCGATTCAGCTCTCGAAAGTGTCAGTATCTGTGATATAAATGTTCGGGGATGTATTTAGGGACCCAAAAAGAGTTAACGTCTTCTACGAGCTAGAGCTGCAAAAACGTACGGAACCTAGGAACTACATTATAGCAGCTTTGCCAAAATAGCAAAACGATATGTGTCTATTCTAAAATTGAGCTCAAGAAGGTTTGTGATCATTTGTTTGCCATATCTATGACTTTTAAGGCTTCTTACTTCTTTTTAATGACGCAAATGAGCTTGCAATCGTTGTATTGGACTTAGGACAAGGAAGGTAATGAGACAACAAATCGTATTGGAAGCTGATCTTATCAAATTTTGCGAGAACTGATTATTACATGAGTAATATGTTTGATTGGAGCCCCAATTTTATTTAAACATTTTGTACTAGGGGCTTTTTGATATGTTTTAGCGTGATACTGAAACTGAATCTTTACAGAAACTGAAAAGCCTCCTAGCAGGTGTTGGTACACTTTTAATTATCACATGTTGATACACACGTTTACAAAGCCTTTTTACCAAAAGCTGTTTTAAGTTAAACTCCAAAAGTAAAGCCGAAGAAACATTCCTTCTTTGGTTATTTGAAGATGTCAATTACTTAAAGTTGCCTAAAATTCCAAACCAGAAGAACTTTGTCTCAAATGATTGCAGAACTACTCAATTAAATGCTTATCCAGCAAAATAACTCGTTTAACAAGACAATGCTTTGAAATCCCCAGCAATAAATATATATTTTGCTGCCCTTAACACTTTTACTAAGAAGGGCATCTCATGTTTCTACAGAATAATCTGGGTATCGTGTTTGATAATTGCTCCGGTAACTCCGCCCCCCTCCCCCCTTCCACTTAAACTCAAAATTAATTCCTGTTGTAAATTAGAATATCAAAATCTGAATTGTATCTTTCATTCTAAGGTTTTTAAGATGGATTTAGAACAACAACGCGAGAAGGAGAACAGAGGGCATCATTGTTATGAAGATGACGAAACAAAGCACAAGGTATAATTTATCCCAGTAACTCTTAATAGCTAAGGTTTTCTCTGAGCTGTTATTGCCCCTGACCAAGGGAAAAGAATACAACCCTTAGAATTTTTTATTTATTTTGTATCTGTGATGTTTTGTTTTTTAACTCAAGACACCAATCTATATCAGCAAATAAAAGAGGGAAATAACTGTGTTTTATTTTGTACTTGAAATATCTGTATGGGGTCATCTCTATTTTTGATACTAACTTATTGCCCGAGCAATGACCTGCTTCTACATGTTAAGTTACTGAGCTTCTTACAAGCTATTACCTTTTTCTTGTTATTATAAACTCCATATAATTAAAATTCATTTTTGTCCTCTGCATATTTTTAATCAGGGCACTGGACTCGAAAACCTTTTTTGTTCTCTCAGTGTCCTGGTAAACTTACTGGAAACTGTGTTAGATAGAGCATATTGTATCCATCGATCTTTAACTTTGTATCTTTTATAAATATATCTCAAGTTAACTTGTATCCGATATATTGTAAATATTTTGCGGAATTACATAAATTTGATTTTGAAAAATCCCAAACAGATGTCATTCTTCTCTATTATTAACTGCATACAGGTATTTAAAGCATTTCACCAAAAACTTCCTCACTTATTACTATTACTTCATGAATCCAATAACTTCTTTCAAATTTTAGGAAGAGATGAAGAAAAGAAAACAAGCTGAAAAACTAAAGCGGAAAAGTTATGAAATCGAATCCCTGAAAAAGGTATTTCATCTTTCATTTGAACATAGCATTTGAACTTTCTTTTTGCAATTTTGAATTGACATAATTTGTTCTGAATTTGCTTACCTTTAGAATGATATTGAAAGCCTGAAGCCCATATCTAAATTTGGTAAACCATCCTGTTTGGTTTTTTAGTAAGTAATAGTTTTGGAATATTTTATCTTTGTTTTTACAGGAACTTCGTTCAGCTGACCTAGAGCTTAGTGAAACTGCCGCAAGACTTCATGAGTTTCAGACGAACCAGGTAAATCATCGAACTGTCGTTTCAAATCTCTACGCTTAAAGAATAACATTGCTGTTTTCTACACGTCTTTTTCTATACCATGAAACTTTGCTCGATGTGTTGATAGATTTTAAGATTTGTGTGTCCTTGAATAACGTCAATCTAAGTTGAAAACGTTAGGATCGACCTTATTTGCAGAAATAGAAGGCCTGATAGAAACAATTTGTGTCTTCTTTATCGGTTTAAAATTCTGAATAGCAAAGTATTTGTATGAACTAGATACAAAACATTTATAGAGCTGCATTGTTAAGAGTGTTATATTTTGTGTTATGCTATGTTGTCTCTTGTTTTTTTAGAGTCGCCTGAGCCCAAGAGAAGAACCCATCGAGGAAACTGCGGAGCCTGCTTTTGAAGAGTTATGGAAGCACTCTTAATATCATAGCAATCATCATATGAAGCAGAAAGATTGATGAGTAGATTTTAACAAATTGCACTTTTAAGCATGTTGACAAATGAATTTTAGCGAAGAGCACTTTAGAACTGATAAAGAGACAGTTTTGAGTTCTTGATAACTTTAAATCACGTGCGATGGATCTGCTCCTCTTTAGAGCATTTTGCATAACTAGGTTTCTTGTGTAATGACTGTTGGAGAAGCGGCTCTGGAAACATACCGGAGGTGGTACCAAGGTTTAAAACTCCGAACGCTATCGTATGCTGTGCTGTCTTCAAGTTTGTTCGAATATTTATGATCTGAACCGTTATCTGATTAAAAATTTATCACGATTTTACATTTTAACAGCTTTTCATCACAGTTTAAAGTTCGTTGAGTTCGAGATTTTTTTCTTTTCTCAATAATCAGATGTACATATTATATTTTTAAATTTTGATGGTACACAAATGTTTCAATGGATCTGCCCTCGTTTTGTGTCTCTTTGTTTTATCTGCAAGTTTCAGTTAATCAGACGACTACTGTACGGAAAAATTTCAGTTTTGTTTTCACCTCGTGCTCTTCAAGCCAAATTTCTTAAAGTATAATTTTGTTAAAGTTTATAAGAAATATTTTAAGAAGTAAAGTATGAAGGATGAGGAAAATAAAAAAGAATACGTTTTGTGAAGAAACTCCGCTTGCCACATCAAAATATCTTATTGAAAAAATCGAAATTGTTTCTGTGTAGATGAGTTTTCAACTACGCCAAGCCTTTGCAAGAAATTTGAAGTTGTTGCATCAATGATGATCGTTGTAGTGATACAAGAATTGTTATTTTTGAGATCCTATTAACAGATTTTGGTGTTTAAAGCTGTATTACAGCCATTTTTAAACAAAATATTTTGAAATTGAAATAAATAAATAAATAAATAAAAGAGAAATTGAAATCCTAATGTACTGAGGTCATTATAAATTCACAATTCAACCTTTGCAATTGCTATTGCAATGTTATTTCATAACTATTGCTGTGAAAATCTTTCACACTTATTCGCTCTTTCTCATTTATGCGTAATATCGATGGTCATGCATATTTATTGTGATCATTCGGGGAAGAGCTGCTTTTAGTGATTATTTAATATTCATTCATTCAGACGGAAAGATGAGCAGTTAATGGAAGCTTTGAAGATCTGGAAACAAAGAATGTATACTCACGCGAGATAAACTTATACACCAGATCCTTTTTCCATAAAATTTTACATGCTATAATGCTAAAGTTTAAATATAAAATGAAAAGATATTGTGAATGGTGGGGAAAGAGGGATGCTATTCGTTGTGTTAAATCATCATATACCCCCGGTTGGTTATTTGTTTTATCAATGCCCAAGAAACTGCAAAGGAAACTGCACATAGAGCTAATGTGAAGATCAGGGCCGTAAATCTGTCATGTGAATTGGGGGGGGGGGGGGTCAGCAGAGCGAATGAATATAAAGTATGCAGTGGGTCATGGCACCACAAGGGATTTATGGTATGTGTTATGGAAACAGTTGAGGGGCAAATTTCTTTAAAAACAAAAGTCAATATTTTTGGATTTCTCAAGACCTTCTGCTCTATAGAAGGTATTTACAGATATTCCTTAGTACATTGACTTGTGTGTATGATTGGATTGATAACATTTTTCAGAGACGGCCCCAAGAAATTGAACCTTGGGAGCTAAGAATCAAGTTTAGTGACGTATGAGGACCCACCATGGTTGGGTCCGACGCAGAAAGAAATTTTTGAAATTATACCTTCTAGAAAGGCTAAAAAAGCATCCCCAGACTAAAATTAACAAAATACTAGATCACCCAGGATAGAAAATTCGACGTTTCTCAGAAGAACACAGATTATTGTTTACTGGGTGAAATTTTGGAGGGGAAGAGTCATGCTTAAACCTTAGTGACAGACTTTGGGGAAATATGGGACACTGTTGTATTGATTGGTAGAAATTTACTTTCTGAACAGAAATGTGCGTCTTCCTTATTTTGACTGATTTCAGTAGGCCATGTTTACACATCAAAAATGAATACATTTTAATGATACAAAAAGTGATTTACTAAATAAAAGTAAATAATAGACAAATAATAGAAATGTACGTAAATAAGTTAGTAAATAGGTCAAATAAAATGACAGATTGCTCTCTTTTTATTTCATACTCTGTTTTCAAAAATAAAACGGTAGAAAACAGTAGAAAACGGTAAGTTTTTATATTGTAAAAATTATAAAAACCACTCTGCTTACAAAAATAACCTTTGGGCTGAGGTTTGTTGCAATAACACAGAAAACGTAGTTTGGTGCTAACCCGGCTACCAGGGATTTCTTTCTTCCAAGAAAAATGATGGTAATTTCTCCAAAAAAGTCGTTTTGCTCCAGATTTGGGGGGGGGGTCCAGTCCCCCCCGTCCCACCCGGGATTTACGGCCCTGGTAAAGATTAAACAACTGGAATCTCGCAAAAGTCTTTTTGGATTACCAAGACCTTTTGCAGAGCCTATAAGTCGGAGTTTAGTGCCTGGTTCATTACTTATTACAGCGTTCATCAAAAAGGGCAATCCCGCACTTCTGCTATCCCTCAGATCTTCTTACTTTCACTACAGTAATAAAGTTAACTTCCACCGTTGCAGCTTTCGCGTTGAGTTATCGCAAGATATGCAAGTTCGGTTGGGGTTCAGTATTTTGGGGTTGTACTCTAGTGTCTCTAATAGAACGGGGAGGTAATAGAAGGGGGTGTTCATTCCGTCCAATTTTCAAAAGAAGGGGGTGGTATTATAAGGGGGGGTGTTCATGTCGACCAATTTTCAATAGAAGATTGTGCTTATAGAAGGGAGTGTTCATGTCGGTAATCTTTCTTTGGAATCAGAATACCTTTTAGAATGTACTGTCAAAATTTGGTTTCAGTTTCTTGCATAGTATTAGAGAAAATTACAATCATACAAAGATAAATCAAATGTACAGCTTCTAACTTCCAACTCAAAAATCATCGGTTTCCTTTGTACGGTTGAGATTTTACAAAAAAACTATGGAAAACAACGAATAATGAAAATCGAATGACTTAATTTGTAAAATTTAATAGAAGGGGGTGCTAATAAGCGACGGAGGGAGGGCAAATTTTTCCGAAATTAATACACGGGGGGCCGTCTATTAGATACACTAAAGCAGGGGTTCTTAATTGTTTTGAGATTTTCTCCGGGGGTCACTGAGTTTTCGACTTTTACAAAACTTGTGTCAAAAAAGTTGCACAAAATGAAGTTCAGATCTAATAATTACCATGCTAATTTAGAGATAAGATAGGCAAGCCTATTTTTTCTTGTTAGATTCTATATTAATAAAATAAAATCAATGTAGTGCGCTTATTTTCATGAAATAAGTTTTGGAATTGTGGATGAGAGGAGAGAAAAAGGGAGGACGATGATAACATTTAGGAAAATGTTGCTGCCTTGATGTTAGAAGGATTGGCTCAATATGCAATACCCGACGGATTTACACGCCCAGAATTTAATGATTGCGTTTGTATTCAAAAAGGCCGCCACCGTGGTTCGCGGCAAGAAAAGTTCTAGATTATAATAGTATAGGGATGGCCAGAAACTGTATCTAAAATGGAATTCGACGGGAGAAAAGCTAACGTTTCCATAGTTTTACCTATTTTAATGTTGACATTTGAAGAACTTGGCAATAAAGAATTAGCCAGTGCCCTACTAGTACACACACGCTGCCTCATACACATACACTAATAAGCATGAACTTCATGAAGTGAAGATTGAGTCTGGCCTTGGGGCTGGGATCTCAGAAAGTTGAAGAAGGGGTAAGGTAATGGTGAGTTTATCGACAACCTATTGAAATCAATGAAAGCAGTAAAATAGTTTCCTATAAAACGTTTAAATGATTAAATAAAGCATTTCCTATATTCGTACTCCCTTTCCGACCAATTACTGGTCAATGGGACGCACATTTCCATTTACTGCAGAGGAAAAAAATTATCAGAGCAGTCCAAATGCAAAACTTAATCGAATTCAAAATTTTCAAAGTAGAAGCCAAAAAATATTTTTTGAGATAAAGCGCTCGGCGGGCCGGTGTCATATGCGTTTCTGCATGGGCATGCGTTTCTGCATGGGCTGAGAAATATATGCGTTTCAAATGTTAAAGTGTAATGGCGGACATGGAGGGCCTAGCTGTGGGGTACACAACGCGCACATCCAATATAAACAATACAAAACGAAATCAAAGTTCTAGAAATTAACTAAATATCAAATACTCAAATAAATAAACCTCTTGACATGATAAACTCAGAAAATGAAATTACAATCATGCTATTGATAAGATGAACAACTACCATCCGCTTAGCCCATGCAGAAATGCATAGAGAATTTCAGTGTTATGCGTTTCTGCATGGGGTATCTAAAATCAAAATACCATCAAATTTCATCGCAAATTAATGTTTACTAGCAAGAAATGATTGCAACAATCTGATATAGGTCAAACTTTTCCATGCAAGTAGCATTTTTGAATTTTTTATCATTTTTGTAGTTTGCCTTAGGCCCATGCAGAAACGCATAGAGAATTTCAGTGTTATGCGTTTCTGCATGGGGTATCTAAAATCAAAACACCATCAAATTTCATCGCAAATTAATGTTTACTAGCAAGAAATGATTGCAACAATCTGATATAGGTCAAACTTTTCCATGCAAGTAGCATTTTTGAATTTTTTATCATTTTTTGTAATTTGCCTTAGGCCCATAATAATAATAATAATAATTGAAGCTAAATCTCCATTTCGGAGCAGTTACCCAACTACTGGGTATCACAAGCTGGTGCTATAATTTTAGCCAATCTTTTTATTTCTATTTCATCCATTGGTAAGAAATTTTTGAAGGGTGTTGTTGATACTTTTAAGAATTTTTGAATTATTTGTAGCTAAACATGTTTTTTCCATCTTGGGTTTTTGATAAAAACTTGGGCAATCCCATAAGTGTTCAATATATTCCTCATGGGCCCCACATCTTCTGCAAAGAGAATCAGAGTACTTTCCTTTGTAGTTCGCTCTTAAGTCAACCATGTTTAGTTTTAATTTCAGCAGGGATGACGCGTCTTCACACCCCAGATACTCTTTCATTTCAAATTTACTACCCTTGATAAATCTAAGTTTACATGTCCACCTGTCTTATAAAACATCTAGTCATGCTTTTACTCGTATTTCATTTTTGATGGAGCCTGAGAAACTAAAATCGTTGATGTCTCAGATTGGCTATTGCCTGCTGATTTGGGTGTTTCGAGAAAGAAATTTGAACTATAAGATAAACTGAATTTAAGAGAAAGGCCTATAATAGTATATATTTATGATTCCATAAATATACTAAAATGCGTGCGGTACAATATGATGAATTTAATTAACGATCAATGTAAGTGAATTGTACCAGGAAAATTTTTTTTAAATAATTAACGACGTTTCGAGCATAGCCCGTTATCAAGTAAGATAGAAAAGCGATGATAGAACTAAAAAACGTTAAAGAAATATGGAATTCGACCAACAGAATAGGAAGACGGATGTAAGAGCATGGAAAAGAAATATATGGAAAAAGCTAGTAAAAATAAATATATATATACATATACGCAAATACAGAATTTATGCATATGTATACATATATATATATATAATTTCCTGGTACAATTTACTTACATTGATCGTTATTTATAAATTTATGATGCTTTTAGCTTTGAAAAATTATTTAAACTGATAGCTCTTTAAGCGTTCATCAGTTGAACCTGAATTTGCTTTTGGTAGAGGTCTACAAATCAATATCACATCTATGTATATTCTAGCTTCATAAAGCTAGCTTTGGTGGAAAAAATTCCTTACAATCTAACGTCTCTTGATGAACTACAATTGTCAACTTGCCTTGGAATCAATATCAAACGATCATTTTTGTAGGAAAAAGTACGAGAAACACTATGACCAGAGTTGAAAAACTCAGACTCCCTTTAGATATTCAAAATATATATTTATAAAAGCTCATAAATGCAAAGCTTGCAACAGTAGATAAAGATATTTTATTCAAATTTTGGTTTGTTTATTGTAACAAGTATTTCACTAATTTATGTTTTTAATAGTAAATTTTATATTTGTTCGTAAGTGATTGGTAAGCATTTTCAGCCTTATTCATTTGCGAACCTTAAAATATTACTGAAAATAGAGCTGTGGAGGATGTAAATCAACTACTACTGGTTTACTTTTTATCAAAATGGTAGGAATTCTATACCATCTGTGATTTATTCAAAAATTAACCAGAATTCCTTTTTCTGGTTCTTTAACCAAATAATAGTCATATACCAGGAAATAATTTTATATCGTTGGCTTTGAATTATGGGAATCCTTTTGGGGGAAGCTCTTTGTGTAAATCTGCATAATTTTATCCGTGTAACGCATGATATTATCACATATTCTTAGCTTTATGTTAGCTAGTTGCTGTTTTCTAACTTACAAGTCTAAATTTTTTATTAAGGTTTTGTGGCGATGGATCATTTCACAAACCTTTATTAAAAGTTGTCAGGAAACGCACATCCGTTGAAACACATTTGTGTCCTGTCTAACGCATATGCGCTTCACGCCATTCACAGCTAGGCCCTGCATGTCCGCCATTACACTGTAACACTTGAAACGCATATGCGTCTCGGCCCATGCAGAAACGCATGCCCATGCAGAAACGCATAGTACACCGGATAAAAACTTGCCGCGGGCCGTAGTTTAAGAATGGCAATGCCACTGTGCGAATGCCACTGCGATGGCGCTATTTTCTCCAACTTGCGCATTGATGAACAGCGAAGTAACAGTGATGAGAGAATGTACAGTCAAGGAATGCGAACAGTTAGACGAAAATTAATATTTAATTTTATTTTGTGTTACCTGGCCTGTGATTTCATCGTGAGCTGCAATAGTAGTAGCCCAAACTCATTGTAAAATAACAATATTTTCTCTTTATAAGTGAAAACATCGGAACAGTTTGTTAAAACGCAGTTGTGTTGGAAGGCCTAAACACACGAACCTTATTAGACAAAGGATATTTGGGTTATATTTTTCATACAGATAGAGACAATGGAGGGAAATCTCGGCAGTTCAGACACACCTTATGGATATGAAGAAACATTGGTAGGTTTGCCTCGGATTTTTGTTCATTTTATTTTGCTTCTTCCCGAATAACTAAGTAGGCTCTGGTGTGCCAGCCAAGTAAGTGGAGCCATAGACAAATATGTACCGCTGAGCTGACATTGGACCTTTATCCTATTAGTCTCACCGTGACTGTTCATTTTCATTCCAAATTAATAAAGCTATTTCATTCTGTGAAAAATCTTTTAATTTGCTGGCTAATATAAAAAAGGGGCGTTTTTCTTACTTGATGGTATGCTATTTATCAATTTGTTTCTCTATCTTAGCTGACCACATTTATTTAACAGAATGTATCAGTAACCTATTCGTGTTCGTCTTGAAGAAAAGATGGCAAAAATAGTACAGCAGTATTTCAAAAGTCTCCAATTTGAGAGCATTTTTTCACAGATGAAAGTGTTAAGATATGATAACAGTTCTAAGCCATTTTAAAAGCAATTAAGAAAGCAACTAGCCTACAATAAATACCACTGAAACATCACTAATTTAATACTGGAACTATCAATATCAAGGTGAGGCAGGTTTGGTCAGTCACTCTGACTGTTTGTGCCCCCACTTACAAAGAGTGTACCTTCCAATGCAACTTCTCGTATCATAAGACCCTCAACCTCTGGAAATAATGTTTAGGGCCAGCTTGCAAAGGATGACTGATCCTGACACAATACTGGGGCAGGCGCGGATCTAGACCGGTTGCACAGGTTTCAGAAAGCCAGTTAAATTCTCAGAGCTATGATTCTCTGTGATATGTATCTTGAATTTTTATCAAAAATTTCAATTGTGAGTATTGCTGCATATCTCCCTGTCTGACTACAGTTCATGTGCTTACAATCTGAATTGAACCCCCCCCCCTCCTCCCTCTCTATAATTGCTTAATTTTGTTCTGACAAAGTTCCCAGCATTATAATATGTCTTTTCTCCCTAAGTATTCAAGGAATTCAAAATTGAGGAAATCAGTCAGCACTTGAAATGACAGTTTGGAGTATGCTATCTATGCTCCAAAATTGAAACTGGTTGCTATTGTTCTCTGAAAACCTGTGAAAACTGATGCCCATATGTTTCCCTTATGCAAAAAAACTAGTGGTTAAAAAGCATATTTGATATCTATATCCATAGCTTGAAAATATTGACACTCTGAGACAAAATGAAACAAAGTGGAATATGGATGCAAATGAGAATCTGAGTTCTTGGATTCTTGTATTAGACTTTCTTTCTCAGAAAATTTATGAAAATTAGAATCAAAATTGCAAGAATAGGATCAAAGACCAATTTCAACAGAATATAATTTTGACAGTTCAGATAAAGGGATGGCAAATTAATCAGAATTTACTGACCTCATAAATTTTCATTACCAGTGCATCTTCAAGCAACATTCATGTACCATTGACACACAGGGCTGTAACAAGGTAAAACACCCCAAAACCAGTCAAAATTTTGGCTAGATCCGCACCTGCTGGGGGCACCAACAGCTTTGTGCCAGATATGCAGATACACAAAAATCATCTGCAAATGCCAGGTGTGCCAGAAATTTAAATTTTTCCAGCATATAATTTAACAGATCTTGTTTGTAGGTGCACCATCATCCTTTCATATCTGAATATTGGTTGTGCCATTGCCCTAATATTCAAACTGGGTTTAGGATATCTTAACAAAAACATTGTATATCCTGAGACTAATTGCAAAGTGCCTTCTGGTGCAAGTATGAAGAAGAATTGCATGGCAGTGTCTTGGTGTGTATGGCTGTTGGATGTTAATAAATATTTTCTGCATCTATATTTGTTTTTTCTAATATTCTATTTTCATCTGATTGTAGATGCATGGAAGATTCACTTCAAATCTAAGTGAGTTTGCACATGATTATGCAAAAAAGCTAAAATATCAAATCGAAGAAGAACAACAAAGGGACAGAGATGAAGAAGAGTTCAGGTCTTACAGTGGAGGGTCTACATTTTCCTGGCAGATTAAATGTATGTTTTAGCAACACCTTAGTGTTATTTTCTGACTTAAGTTGAATTCTGTTGCTGAAAGCTCCATTGATTAAGAGAGTGAGGTATTTTGATAAAAACAATTTAGATTAGTTTACTTCAAAACAACTTTTCTTGATTACAAAGGGCTTCAAAATTCCTTCAAATTCCCATTAAGATATGCCACAGACTGATCTCAATATTGACTTCTGATATTTTTTAAAATAATCTGATGATACATTTTGTAAAGCTTCTTATAATATTGTTCCAAAAGCATGACATAATGTTATCACAAAGGATATAACTATTCTGCCTTTCTATTATTAACTTTTTAATTCTCAAATGAATCCATCAGTGAATTACAATAAATACAAACTATATATTACTCAGGCCTCTCCGTTTAAGGCGCGCGATCACGCGCGCGCGCCTTGGCACGCTCCTATCGTTGCCGAGACGCGCAATAAATCACGCGCCTGGTTTATAAGAACCCTTTAAATCGCGCTCCTTGTGTTTTAGTTTTGAACAATTATTATACAAAGAGCCTTGCGGATTCGAAATCGATTGATATCTAAATAAACGGTTGCTTCTTTTAATCCCTTTTTCGAGGAAATTGTTATTGCCAAGTTAAATCAAACACCTCTTGAATATATTTCCGGTCAATAACCAATAAACTGTCATTGTGATTCCTGATTGTTATAAGTTTTTTAAATGGCCATTAATTCAAAGGACCAAGCCATAGAGCTATCTGCTTTCGCAAGTATCGCAAGGACAAAGTTAGCGGATCAAAGACCGAAGAAAGGAATGGGAAGACAATGGTGGTTTCGATTTGGTGTAAAGTTTGCTCAAAACACAAAAGCGTTATTTTATCAAATCCTCTTTGTAAAGGAAGTGTCAGGAAAGCAATTGAATCATACGTCAATGGAACGAATTTTGATTCTTCCACTTTTCCTGACTCCGATTCTTCATCGGAATTTGAGCTGGACATTGACGAACTACAACAATAATGTGTTTTTTTTGCTTTTAGTGCTCTATTAAGTAGTTTGTTTAGATATTTCTAGATACAAAGTATTTACATGCGAAAACATGCCGTTTTTGTCTACTTTAACGTAAATATATTTTTTTGGTAGAACGCGCGCCTTAGCAAGGCGAGGCGCGCGTTTGAGCACGCGCCCGCTAAAATGCTCACGGAGAGGCCTGATTACTTTGTGAAAATATTCATTAATATTCTATGGTTTTTTTTCATTTTCAGAATTTTATTGTGAGCTATAAATAGAGGGCTTTTATGGCTAGAAATTAATACAAACTCAAGTGATAACAGCAGAGTGCACAAATCAAATTTTCTTGATAACACAGAACAATAAAAGTTTTTCCTATTGAAACACTAAACTTGACAAGGATATGAAAACGGGCAAAAATAGAGTAATGGGGGAACTTTCATTTTGATTTTGATCAAAATGGTGTGGGTTCGGAGCAGTGGGATCAGCTCAAGAAAATATAGTACCGTAAATCTTTTAATTGCCCCCCCCCCCTCGAAAAATCCCCCCTCGAATAAGCCCAGACCCTAGAACTATAAATTTTCAATAAGCCCCCCTCAAATAATACCCCACTGCTACTGTAAATTCTCAAATTGACCCCTCCATTTGATGATTTATAATTTATATTTTTGTTGACCCCTCCACAACAAATTTATATTTTTGGTGAGAATTAATTAAATGCTCATAAAGAAATTCCTGCTAAAATAAATGAGGTCTTTCAATAATGTCTTCTTAATATCTACAATAATTTTAAAAGCCCCCCCCTTGTATAAGCCCCCCCTTCGAATAAGACCCCATCCAAAAATATAAAAAATAAATAAGCCCCCAGGGGGCTAATTCGAGGATTTACGGTAATGGAACGATTGGAAAATGAAGACATACAAAAATGGAATAAATTGAAACAAGGATTCGTATTTATTACCGGGCGCACAGCTAATTCCTCCTAAAGGGAAATCGAATGCATGCCTGTGCACTCACGGGCTAAAACGCACCTCCTCCCCCTCCCCACTGTCAGCCCTGTACATAGCTATAAAAAATGATGCATTAGAATAGTGAAGATTTTTTCTTTCTAGCCTAAACCTTCCTTATTCTTTGCTGTATTCCCTACTTTTTGATAGCATAATGTGTTTATGTGTTTGCTGCTGACCCATTCCAAGCAATAGGATACAAGACAGAAGAGCTTGAAACATCATCATACAGTTCTATCAATAATCAAAATTATATTATATTTATAATTTATGATATGTCACAATCCATATGGGTTTTTTATTTTATAAAAGCAGTATTAAAATATTAATGAAAATTACTGCTTACCCATCTATCATAAAATGCTCAATGCCAAATAGGCAGAGCTATACATGCTATATTATAACAATAATAATAATACAATAATTCATTTATTTATAGTAGGCATTGTTTACGGTAGTAGCTAAAAGGTAAGCTAATTAAAGCCCACTATATATGCAGGCACCATGAGCAGAGGGGGCTAGGGGGCTTTAGCCCCCAACTTTTGTAATAAAGGCCAAATATCAAGTAACAATCTACCAGTAAAACCTCTTTTTATATGGTTTTAGCCCCCTTCCCACTTTTTTAACCCCCCCCCCCACTTTTCTGAATGCATGTGCCTGATATGATGTATAGGAAGGGACTGTTCTAAGTTGTGACTCCGTGTTTCACACTTGATGTGACCATCAGGCAGATGTTCTGATGATTCCATCAAGCATGAATCTCGGATCAGCAATTTGAATTTTCCTGTTTTATACACCAAGTATCATGTTGCAACATTATGTACTATGTTAAAGGTCTAAATGGTAAAAATAATTTGTGCAGTTGAATTCACATTTTCTTTCAGACTATTGGAGGCGTTTCTTGACAGTGCTTGCAAATGACTATAGTTTTCTGTTTATTCTTGGTGTCTTAATGGCATTGATAAGTTTCATGCTGGATTACTTTATCGAGAAATGTCAAATGGGTAAGATCTTTATGCAGTCTTTTTTATGCCATACTGTCTATCTTGTTTGATGCTTGTAACCACATGCAATGCAAATTTCCAGGACAATACATAAATAGAGTTGCAAATATTATCTATGATAAGTGGGGTCTCGCTTTGTCTGGTAATAAGTGTTAGAATTTCAGAAGTATCTCAAGGTGATGTGTGAAAATGTGTCAGTATCAAGCTTCTGTTAATATGTTTTATGAATGAAAACTGACAAGTGTATACTTATTTTGAAAAAAGATTTTTTTGAAAACCCTTGTTTATCCCCAGGTATTAAAAATTTGAGAACATGGAAACATTTTCTGACCTATTACAGTAATAATTGTTCTGATTGGTTTCACAAGTTAAAGAAAATTTAATGGTATTGAATCGATTTTTCCAAAATGTTATTACCACCTCCAACAATTTTGATAGGAAGGAAAGAATTTCATCTTTTGTTTATTTTCACATTTGTAAAAAACCAAAATTGTAGATAGGTATGAAGTTTCACACCTGACTGTGGCTTTCAAGAGAAGTAGATTTAGGGCATATTATATATAATGCTTTTAGTCTGGCTAACTGGGGAAATTCTAGCTAATTTTGGCCAAGGCAAACAGGGCATTGAGACTGAATAGTTTTCACATTTGTTTACCACAATAGATTTTAACTTGTAGCCTCTGTTTTTCAGCTCAAATATTGCTTTATCAAATGGTGAAATTTAGTGCACTGTTGCAGTACGTGCTTTGGATTGGCTTTCCACTACTTCTGATTACCTTTTCAGTTGGTTTTGTTCATCTTGTGTCTCCACATGCAATTGGTAAGTGCAAAGACATTTGTCTGTAGTGGAGTCATTTAAGTTATTTATGTTTAAAAAAAATTTCTTTGGTTACATCCATGGTATGTATTCAAAATATAAAATGTGTCAAAGTGCTGTGAAATTCAAAAGTTATTATTTGTAATTATCTTGCTTTATAAGTTTGATTATTTGCACAGAAGTAAGCACTGCACAACATATGGGTAAATATTAAGCAAGAATTATAAGGTCATGTATATTTTGTTAGCAAATGATAAAGCCCATTAAGCTCAATCATTAACCTGTAAGTTAAAAAGGTAAAATGCTTAAATTGCTTGATTTGCTTCTTTCAAACCTGGTGTAGTTGAAGCCAAGCTGCTATCAATAAACAATTGAAATCAAAAGAATCAAGAGAATACCAATATTGCCAAAACAGATAATATTGAGCTCAAGAGACTAAATGATATTCGCATAAATTTGCTTTCCTTGCTAAAAGACTTTATTTTTTTGTACTTTTAAGGCTCTGGAATCCCAGAAATGAAAGTTATCTTGAGAGGAACAGTACTGAGGAGATACCTCTCTTTTCCTACTTTCATATCAAAAACAGTAAGTAAATTTTCATTTTTAATGAAATATTTTGAATTTCAATATCATTAATATGTATGCAGATATAGATTCCCATGCACTGTTTGGTCAAAATCTAGCACTACTATGAGTAGAAAATGTAAGTGTCTCATAAAAGAGAAGTATCATTGTTGAGTATCTCATTGGTTTGTTCATCTTTCCTTTTTCAATCTTATGACACATTTATTTGGTATCAAATAATGCCATAAACTTGGTTAGCTAGATTTTCTGTATAGATTTATTTTGGTTTTTTGGCTTTTTCTGATAAGAAATATTTCAAAGATTTTTTGCTTCATACGTCAATCCCTTTTATGAAAAAATCTTGTAGGTTGGACTTATATCAGCTCTTGGTAGTGGAATACCAATCGGGAAAGAGGTATAAACCATCCTTCTCTTTTGCATGACTAAAATTTAGGTAGTCACAAATATTTATGTCTCATTTTTTCACCTGATTCTGCTGCTTATGTGACCGAGATTATCTTGAGCTAGAGCTTCAGTTGAAAGTTTTACTTCACTTTGAAAATTTTGACTTTTTTCAGTTCTTTGTAGTCTTAGGATTTGACAGCTTAATGGAAACTTATGATTTGAGCTAAGCTATTATCTGAGAGGGAGACTTTGTTTGATCAGCAACAGAGAAACTTATTAGTTCTTTTAAAATTATTTCATTGTTTTGCAACATGTACAATTTCACTGAAGAAAAATTTTTCACCATTCTTCAAACTTTTTAATTGTCTTTGGGTGGCTCTTGTCCCTTTCCTCATGCTTTCGGTAAAAGGTTGCTAGTTTCTGAGTCAGAAAAAGCATTTGAGTTAAAGTTGATTGAATATTATATTTTTGCTATGTTGTGGTCCAACTTTTGTTATGCCTGTCAATTTACACTTTTTAGGGTCCATTTGTCCATATCTCAAGCATGGTTGCTAGAATGCTAAGCAAGTTCATCAAAGCTTTCCATGGAATTTATGTGGTAAGATCCTATTATTTTGACTCAAGAAATTCGTGCCAACATTGATTGTTTTTATCCACTGTAACAGGTAGATTGTTACATATTTGGTTGGCACACATTGAATTTGTTTTGCACAAGGACCTTTAATGATATTCCAAATATTTCTTGATATCATGATCAAGTATTAAGATATTTTGATTAAGTATTAAGTACACTGTTGTTTTTTTTAAGTTGTAGTAGACTCAAAGATCAAACAATATTGAGAACTGATTCTGATTTAAATTTAGAATGAATCTAGGAACACTGACATGCTGGCTTGCGCATGCGCTGTTGGAGTGTCAAGCAGTTTCGCTGCTCCCATCGGAGGTAAGTTCATTTTAGCAACAAAGTTTTTATTGTATTTGAAAGGAAATTGCCCAGTGAATATCCTCTGGATTACATCTCTACCTCTGGCTTGAAATCATTTTGCAATAATGAATGCCAATTCTATGTTTTCGCATTACCTAGATATGTTCCTTGAAAGACATTGCTGAAAATAGGTCTCCATGCACCATTGTATTTGAAAAGTATCGGTGAAATGATCCCACTTGTTTGTCAGTTACATGGAGAAAACTGCCTGTCTGATCTCATGGCTCTTATCTTGAGTAAAATCGGATACAATATTTCTTTATTATGGTTCATGCCTTCGATATTTCCTACTATCAAAATAGTCAGTTTTGCTGTCCTTAACATCCCATTACGATCAAAATAAGAAGGAATAGATTTTGGGACAGTTTTTATCAGAGTAGTTTGTTAGTCGTTTTCTCACTTTGCTCTAACACACCTCTGTCAATGTGAGCATATTTCTAACTTTGAAAGCGACGATATATCTTACAAGAAATCCTTACAAACAATTACCAAACAAAAATCCTGACCAGGAATGTATATTTTTCAATTCACAATATATAATTTTATTGTGAACTAATGTGAACTTTTTACTAAGCGGCAATATATATATTACAAGATCACTATAATCTCAGAAAACAACCTTTATTTTCAATTCATCGAGCTATGATTTTTCCTCTTGACAGGAGTTTTATTCAGCATCGAAGTAACATCGATGTATTTTGCTGTCAGAAATTATTGGCGTGGATTTTTCGCTGCTGTTTGTGGTGCATTTATGTTTCGTCTACTCGCAGTTTTGGACAGTAGTGAAGGTTTGTTATTGTGTATGCTGTTCAATGCCACATTCATTGTTAAAGCGAGCGAGACAGTATAATACTTTCAAATGATAATAAAAGTCAGCTTCAAAGACAAGATAACAGCCTGTAACTATCCAATCTCCTTGAAAAGACTCAATGATAAAATATACTGCTCAACTCAAAAGATATTGCCTTTGGTAAAAAGCTACTTATTAAAAAGGTGTAATGAAAAGCTTTTGATTTCTGATCAAGAAATTAGCACAAGAAGTTTCAAAAGTAACGTTAATGGGAGCCTGGTAAGAGATAATTTCATAAATGGAAGGATATCGTCGTACTGTGGTCAAGTCTGTTGGTTGTTGTGCGTGTTGGGCGGTATTCGCTTGAAATTTCGTCGTAAATCTTGATCGTTGAACGTGCACAGCCCGACTTTTGAACTTCGATATCTGATACCCATTTTGTCAATGTATCCTTTTTTTAAGTTTTGGTGCAGTATTTGTTAACTTTTTTGAGCGTATTTCTAATGAACTTTCTCTCTTAATTCTATGACGAATAAGAAAGCTTTCTTATCTTTTCTAGAAACAATCACTGCGTTGTTCAAAACCAGGTTTAGAATCGATTTTCCATTTGATGTTCAAGAATTTGTTGCTTTCGGCTTCATTGGGTATGTTTCAGGGCAAAGTTTTTGGCACAATTTTCTATCCTCAAAATCCCGTCAATTTTGTTGTTGTTTTTGCATTTAACGCTGGATTTAACCTGATATCTGACCTCTTGTAAATGTAAAATCTGAAGTGATTGATGTCAAATTTATTGTTTATTTATGCTAGTCACCCTACAATCAACTTTATAAAACTTTATATTTTATAGAACTCTAAGGTTTTTACTTGTTAAGTAGATCTCTCAGAAACTAATATTTTTGAGCCAACTTTATTTTACAATTGATGATATTCGTACCAATCATTATTTTTAAATATATAATGAAAATTGCTGTACCACTAAGTATCTCGTAATATTGGCTTCCTACGCCTTGTCTAAGACTCACAACTCCACTTTTATTTTAGACTTACCTGCGGTCTGGCTGGTGCTTTGTTCGTCTACACTCACCGCAAAATTGTCGATTTTCACCAACATCACAAACAAAACAGATTGAACAGATTTTTAGAGAAGAGGTAGTGTTCTCAGTAGAGCTCTATGATTTTTTATGTTTACCTGAATAGGCTAGTTGTTTAAACTAATTTCATTGGAGTACTCTGTCTACATCTTGTTTACACGTGTGTCAATAAAATTTTGAAGCAAAGAGACATAAACAAGGTTTTAATATATTTGTAGGTTTATCAAATAAATATCAGATAGCACCAGAGAAATTGGGAAAATGTGAAGATGCTTTATTATCGATTACCAGTTATGAAAATTACTGTTTACCTGCATGTCATAAAGTGCTTGATACCATATAGGCAGAGCCATGCACGCTATTTGATGTATAGGACAGGTCGGTTCTAAGTTGCTACTTCGATTTTCACGTTAATGCGATTAACAGGCAATTGTTCCTACCTCAATTGTCCGTTATGTTACTCATTCACTTCTCTCAGTGGATATGTGTCACAAACCAAAGAAGCATAACTATTTATACATATTTCTTATAAAATCATGGATATTTATTGAGGCTATTAACGTTAGTCTGGCACGAAGGGGGTTTATTGCAGTTGGCGTTTGGCTGAAGTTGCTCTAAAAGTTAAAAGAATTATCAAGCTAGAATAACAAACATACTGTTATTGAGTTGTCTCTATACCCATTATAATGAAGCTAGAAATAAATCGTTTTCTGGGCTCCACCTTATATTGCCCGGTATTGTGTTGCCTAATGATAGCATTAATCGTGAAACTCAGAGTTCCAACTTAGAACTGTCCTGTGCTATCCACTAAAGCTTGTACCGCTCTGGTATGACAGACCGGCATTACAGTTTTCACCATTTACACTGTCTGCATATAATTTTATTTCATGGCATTGCCCTACCCAAACTTGTTGCCTGTCCCTGTCCACATAAAAGGTCTTGGTAGGCCGATAATTGGTCATTTGATCGGTACTATGTTGTCATGCCATATCGCTCTACATTAACCTTTGCTTCGCTTTTTAGCCGATTTATTTATCCTGCTATGATTGTCCTTATTGTATCGACGTTGTCATTTCCAAAAGGATCTGGTCAGTTCGTGGCAGGACAGGTTGGTTTTCTTTAGCAACTGAAAATTCACTGCACCTTTCTTTTGTTCGTGATGAAAACCGTAGATCCTGCATTTCAGAAGACTTATTTTACTCAAATCCTCCCTTTAAACCAAGAATCTTGCAGTAATTAAACTTTTTTTATTATTGTACCAAGAAGTAAATTTAGTAGCAATATATCAAACGTAAGAACTTTTTAATTTAATAATATGCAATATACTTTTGCTTTTTTGCTATTTTAGAATTGTTTACGCTTGTGATGCTAATTCACCTATTAATGTAAAACTGAGAAACGGACACTGCTAAAATATGTTTTAATTTTAGCTTTTTGTCAAAGATGCTTTAGCGAAGAGTTATGTAGGGAATAAGGCCAGGCTTTTTCGGTTGACCTAATCTTTGTTGTGTAAAGCACTTAATGCAAGGTAAAGGGATTTCTTGAAAGCATAATCAATACAGAACTTTTTTATTTGTTTGTTCAATATTGGTCTTTGTCACCATAGCTTACTGCAAAAGAAGCTTTATATGAGCTGTTTTCAAATACAACTTGGTCAGCTCAGGATCCCTCTCCAGCTTCAATGGAAGTGTTACGTCATTGGCAAACAGCGTACACCAGCATTTATGTCACACTGACTGTATTTGTCATCAGCAAGGTTCGTACTCATGACCTTGAATATCTGTAGTTTCTTGCCAACTTTCAAAATGCATGCATAGCATTGGGTCTTATCAATATTCCACTTCTTATATCATGTTCATTTTCCTTCCATTTGTAACTATCCCTTGACCAAATACTTTTGAGACTTCAATCTGAATCTCCATAATGAAAGGTGACTCTTACAAGTGAGATGTTGGATCCATTCCTCCTCAAAAAGCACGGACTTATTTTCAATGAATTTGGGCTTAAAGGACACAGAAGAACCTAAAAATAACATCAAATGAAATGAGAATATTTCCAAAGAAAAATAATAGTGTTATTCCGGAAATCTTGAGATACAACTTTTCTTACAGTACTTTGTTCTTTGTAGACAAGAATTCTCTTATTAAATCTCCTATGCGCTCAGATTGGTCAGCTGAGACATCATAATATGCGAGACAGGTTATAATATTTGGTGCAGTACTAACGTACATGCATTTATTTTAATTTCAGTTCATTTTGACGGCCGTTTGCGTGGCACTGCCTGTCCCTGCTGGCGTATTTTTTCCTGTTTTCATAATTGGTATGCTTCAATTCAACACCTCTCCTGCATATTTACCATGACTTTGCTTGGGACGTAATCACACCTCTCTTCCTCTCTTCCCATTTCCGTCTCTTTATCTTTAAGCTAAGACAAGGAACTAAATGTTACCAGTTATTTACACATCAGGCTCCCAAATTTTGTTATGTGATTTGAAATTTTTGTTTTGTTTTACTGTCTGAAGCATAGAGCGTTTCAAGTGAATCTTTTCCACAAAATCCTGCTTTGGGTGGTAAGAGAGACATAGGCTAGGTGGAGCCTGATCCCAGCTGCTGGCATTCTTTTCAAGGGCTGCTGAATAAGTTTTTAAGACTGTAACTTCTTAAGGTTGTAGCTCCTTGGTATATGCATCAAGCATTTAAAAAACCTTGATCTAAATATTGTTTTAAGTACCATTTTGAATTATATATAATAGAATAAGAGAAAGTTATTATACTAAACTGCAGGACTACTTCCTATGTTTACCCCATCGCTAAGGTAAGGCTTTGGTAAAACGTCTTTGATGAATGAAGTTATCTGCTTTAGGAGCTGCATATGGCCGTCTTGTTGGCGAATGCATGGCAACATGGTTTCCAAACGGTGTGAATACGCCCATTGTCCCTGGTGGCTATGCAGTTGTAGGTAAGTTCATGAAGAATTTTGTGACAAATTCTGTCACTTATCGCGAAGTTTATATTAAAAGCTGCAAAAGAGTCTTTATGTATTTAAGCTATTGTTTTAAAACCAGGGAAAATATATTTCTGAAAGTCGTTACTTATCTCGTTGTTTAGTCAGTGCAAATGGTCGTTGTTGCGGAGAAGTGTCTAGATCTTTATTGTTTAAGGCTAGCATTCCATCCATTGTCTGAATCAATGATAATTTGCATCTTATGAACATGCGCATTAGGGCGATATTCGAAGCGTTTGATCTAAACTACATTATATAGAGTGTGAGTGAGGACGTGTTTCATTCTCCCGCTCTTCATGACACCATTGTCTCTAAATTTTGTTCATTTTTTTATTTGAGATTGCTTATTCCCATCAGAACCACGAATGTTCCTATCTCACAATGCATTATGCGATGTGAAATGAACGTAATTGATTTAAACTGTGCATGTGCAACTGAGGCAAAGTTTTGAGGGCTAGCACGTTGGCTTTGATAATTTTGTGATAAATGAAGTCTCGTTGGTGCAGCTCATCATTCCGGGGTGTATGTTTGACAATGAACCAAGTGGCTGGTGCCTTCAAATCATCTGTTTAAGACTTTTAGTTCCTTGAAAAAAAACTATAATGTCAGTTTATTAAAGCATCATATTTTTCTCCCAAGGCGCCGCGGCAATGGCAGCAGCCGTTACTCACACCATCTCAACGTCAGTTATTGTGTTCGAACTTACTGGGCAGATTACTCACATTTTACCTGTTATGGTGAGTTATAGCCATTTGAAAATAATCACCTGTTTATTGTCTACCTTGAGGCTTACATCGTTAAGAGTTTATCCGAAGCTTTGTACTCCGAGTGTCAGACAAAAGATGTTTAAAATGTCCCATCACTTAGTTTTCATCTTTGTTTTGCATCTAAATCGCTTCACACATCTAACAAGTTATTTTTTGTCATTTTTAAAAGACAAACTCATATTGTGAAGGAGTTTGAACGGTAAACATTCCGTGCAAAACTCACTACTGTTTAGCCTCCTCGAATCTTGCTTGCTTAATTGAGTCGTTTTTCCATGGCCTTAACTTTCTGCATTTTTCTGTAAAAAGTAATTAAGCAATTTAAATGCATGCAACTTTCACTGTTCCTACTTCTATTGTACCCATCAACGCCAGTTTGCAAATATTACAAATACTCACCAAAGCAATCGTTTTTATTACTGGTGCTTGTCCCACCTTTTCAAACTTATGTCTTAAGCTGTGAATGCTGCCTTTTATGTGGTCATTTAAGTAATTTTTGCAACACTCTTTTCCTACTTGCTTTGTATTTCAATTTAACACCTGGTAATGAAGTCATTTATGTTTGTTGTAATTATCCCTATTTTCGCCTAGATTGCTGTCTTGATTGCAAATGCTGTTGTTCAGCAACTGCAGCCAAGTATATATGATAGCATAATTGAGATAAAGAAGTTGCCATATTTACCAGACATTTCACGGCCTGGGTAAGACAGGCTTGCATTTCACCACTACTTTAAGCTCAAGCATTTTTCTTGTGCAGACATTTTTGCATTTGCTAATGTGAAAATATTTCTACTATTTTCGATCTGAAATGTTGTTGTCGCTCACAAGTCTGCCTTCATTTACATTCTATATGTTTAATATTTCTCTGGATGTTTGTAGATTGTGATTTTTCTTGAATTCCTGTTTTTGTTGATTATACTTGTATTCGAGAATAAAAAATCTGGCATTGCGTTTTCAATGCAAGATCCAATTACTTTGATCAAGACTAAAAGATTTCCTGAATATTTTTTCTAAATTTGTTTTGGTCAGAGTTGATCTGATGTATCTAGTAATTATATTATGTTTTGTATAATTATATAACTGGTTGTCTGTTTTGTGACAGATACATTATCAATGTTGGCGATATCATGGATACCAGGCTTTTCTACATCACCACCAAAAGTTCATATCTTCACTTGAAAAATCTTCTTCGGCGCTCAAATCTTCTCTCGTTTGCAGTTGTCGACAAACCAGGTAAAACTGCTTCAAAGCTCTTAACAATTCGATACCATTATTGCCGTTGTAATTTATTGTGTGAGTGTGTGGTTGTTAAAACCAGAGGCTCATTATTACATATCTGCGTGAGCATTTTTGCTCAGTTGATAGCCTAGATTTTGTTCTTCCTTTAAAACTAATGCTATGCTTTGACCGAAATGTTTTTGTTAGGCATGCATACAGTTTAAGCTAAATCAATATCTGCATTTAAGCGAAATGAATATGAATCTGTTACATTTTGATTTATAGACCCTGACTTTGTGATAATGCCTTTTCAAGTTTTAGACGGAAAGTCAGCCCCCTACCTACATTGTTTTTATGTTTGCAGATTCTATGATGCTCCTTGGAAGCATCAGGCGTATTCATCTAGAGAATTTGCTGGCAAGGCAGTTGTCTAAAGGGCACAAGCAGGATGGTGGGTTAGAGCCAATACGCGAATTGTAAGTAAACTTTAAGAATTTTTTTTCATTATATCACTTGCATATTTGACTCAGAGATAATTTCAAGAATATTTACCGGATAAACATATTTTGCAACTCTTTCTCATGCAGTAACTTCATAGTAGTTTCCAATATTGAAATCAATGTTTTGCATTACAACTGGTCACTATTTTATCTTCTCCGCACACACATAAAGGAAAATATTTGATTAAACAAAGTACATATCAGCAAACATTTATAGACCAGCGGTAAGTTGACATGATTTTTCCTTTACTTAAACGTTAAAGGTTTTCATATATTTAACTTATAGTTCGTCTCCTCCACAGGAGTAGAGTGAGCTACCGCCCAGGCTCTGACGCAATTGATGTTGTTTTTGAGGAGAAACAGGTGAGGAAAATCATGCTTAGTTTAATCTATATATACTTAACCTTTTGACATGCTCAATCTTTCCCTCAAGTATCTTTCCTTCATTTATTTTACAATGCACGTCCAGCATTCACCCGCCCTTTGTGTTGAATATGAAAGCCAGGTATAAATATTTGCTTTACATTTGGTGGTACTCAAGTGTACAGAAGAACCCCTGAAATGATCAGAATTGCTACTTCTTGGCAACTTGTTATATATAACCATTGCTGTGTATTTTTCGTGTTGGTTGTCTATCTCGAAAAAATTGTTTCCTTTCTATTTATATATGATATGAAGTTTAGGAAGAATGTACCTCCAATAACCTAGATTTTTTCTCTCGTAAGCTTTTCTCGTAAATGTTTTGATTCTTTGCTAAATGGTTTTTTGTAACAGTTGTTTTAATTCAATTGATTGTATTCCAGATTAACTCAGAAAAAGATCAATTAATGGCAGAATTGGTAATTTTGAAGCTGTTGCATAAACTTGAGTTGTTAACATTAATGCAGTCTCCGCGTAAAAATGTGTTTTACAAAATGTAACTGGTCATTTTTTTAAATAATCATCTAATAATTGATAAAGTTGATGTTAATATCAAATCCTTTTTCAGCAAATCATTGCCAAAGCCACTGTTAAATCATATTAATGAATATAAACAAATTTTAAGTTTATTTTAATCAATAATTATCTAGCAACTAGGCAGGCCTTCCAGACATAATGTTTTTTGATTCAGTGATATTTTTAGTCAATTTGCTGACAATTGGACTGACATTGTGACCAATTGAACTGAAAATTTATCAAAAGTGGTATCACCACTACTGAGTTAGAATAAACTCTCTAAACAATCTATCTTTTAAGTATTGTATTCAATATTTGCTGAAGTATCGATAAATTCAATTGAAAAGCAGTAATAATCTTCCAACTTTGCGACCTGACCTTATCTTCAATAATCTGCTGTAAATTTTGCAAATTAATTTACACTAACAGTTTAAACAAAAGTTTAATTTGCAATGGTAAAGATTAATGTTAAACAAAATATACGAAAATTATTTAAATATTCTTTAATGAAGACATTCTTTGATTTTCCGCAAGAATGTTTGCCTGCTATCTAGTGGAATAATATAAAAGCATTTTTAACTATTTAGAGCTTAAAGTATCATCCAGGAAATTGATACATTCTGGTTGACAGTCTCTAATTTTTTTATTTCTGTAGGGTGGAGATACAAAAGTAAGCAAGAAATCCAAAGTTAGCAAGTCATCAGGTATTAATTTGTTTTATTAAAGTCATGCAGTTTTTTTCGTTCATCCTGGATTTTGCTTTTAGAGGCGCTAAAAGATAGATATTCCTTTGGATTAGGAAATATTCTTTTAGCGGTTTGCACGAGACTCCGTTGCGTGTTAGTTTATCAGTAATATGTTCCCACCCACCCATTCATTTTGTTAAATTTGAGTGCAAAAGATTTGCATCTAACCTACCTATAAATTGTACCTTAGAGAAAGAGTGGTTTTATGGTTAATAGATTTTCAAGCAATATCGAAGTAGAATTTAATAATTTTCTTTTCAGTTATATTGTATCTCAGAAGGTACCCCTTAATGATTTATAGCGATGGTGATCTTGTTATCTGTCGCAAAAGCAACCTTACAACTCGACATTGAATGCAAGATGGGCAGCAATGACATATTTTATTCTGAAAAATATGACATTAAAGTATTGAGCAAATTACCGATAGTGTTTGTGTAAGATTGGAAGAGAGAAAATTTTGTGATTGTGTCTCTTTCTGTTTCCTGTTTAGCTGTCACGACACTTCAAAAGCTTTTCACCCACACTAGCACTGAACTTTCTGAGGTATGCTACGATTTTTAATTTTATCATCTAACTTTTCAAAACAGAACTTAGGAAAAAGCAATGTAAATAAACAGAAAACCAATTGTGGAATTTAATAGGAGAACTAACTGGATATTTAATTTTTGCATTTTGGTATCGTGTTTCGTTAATGTTTAAAAGCCAATGATTTTTTTTAGTTTCTAGTTGAACAAAACAATTTAATTGATTTCTGAATAAAATTTTTGCGTTTCCTTATTTAAGGCTGCGACATCATCAGGGGAATTCGGTGCAGATGCATATGTGAGTATAGATTGTGTAAAAATGATTTTTAAATGTCAATAAGTTATGTTTTTGTGTATTCAATGCGGAGCTTTACCGATATTTAAGGTAAAAATTTGTTTTTGTACTGCGCTTAACGTAACACATTGCATGTGATGATAGTGCTTGGAAATGAAACCATTTGCAAGTGATACAAGTCACTCATTGTGTACACTCACATCAATTTTTTCTATAGGGAAACAAAATAAATTCATTCTTCTCTGTAAATGAATGTTGGTTGCTTTTAGTCGATATTTCGGATTGGTTTATTGCTTTAGAAATTCCTTTACAGTTTTAATGAACTTTTTCCCTTCCTTTATGTATCTCAGCAGATACCTTCAATAGTATTTCTCTTTTCAGTGTCCTGCATGGGAAATGGAGCTTCTTCACGAGGAAATTGATTTCTCCAGTACCCAGATAGATCCAGCACCTTTTCAGCTGGTTGAACAAACATCGCTTTACAAGGTTATAATGATAGTTTATCTTTTGATGTTCTCATTTTAATCTCAACAAGCTCTTACGGCTGTTTCTCAACACTAAAAGAAATAGTTTGTCACCCTCTACACAGTTCAGTGCAGGCACTGTCTTTCAGAACTATGATGACTTCCTTCAACTGGGGAATAAATGTTGATTTGTACATAATTTGATAGCAAGAAACTATCATAAGGCTCAAATATGCAGATTTCTGATTTTTTTGTGATTTTATTTTATGTTGATGTGTAGAGTTTTAAATTGTGATGTTATTGGAATCTATTTTTGAAATTTGTTTACTACCGTCCACAAAACCTGAAATATCATCATGCAAATAGATTAAGTATGTCAAAAATTAAGCGAGATTTGATCAATAATAGATTTTAACTTTGCTAACGGATTATTGTTAATTTTGACTTTGTTCGTAATATTTGAACTGATACCACATTGAAGTTATTTGATGGGGAAATAGCCTGTGCTTATGAGGCTGTAACTCAGCTAACTGGCAACAAATGTAGCTTATTTTACATATTTCAAAATATTTCATTATGGTTTCTCAGGTTACGTGATCCGAATTCAAACTTCTAAAAAGACTTTTATGACGTCATCGCATTAGAACATTTGCTTATTACTGTTTACTTCAAATTTTTAGGCACATAAACTATTTTGTTTGCTGAATTTATCTCAAGCGTATGTAACATTACTTGGTAGACTCATTGGAGTTGTCACACTGCAAGAGGTAATTTCGCCATGTTATTCTTCATTGATTCTTGAAATACTTCTTTTGTCACGTGGAAATATTAAAAGCCTGCTACCCTATTTTCCCATTTCCAACAGTTATATTTGATTTTTGAAGCAGTTAATCTACAACTTAGTTTAGCCCTTGACTTATTTCTGGATGGCGTTAAATGGGAAGCTCTTTCGGTACTAAATTTAGTTAGGAAATGATCCGTGATTTAATTGCCATAGACCGAAAGCATCATCCTGAATTTTCGTAGGCCACAGCAAATAGCTCCTTTTAGAAACAAAAAATTTTAATTTTCTATGGCTGTCTGTTAATGTTTACTGCTATTTATGGCGCTATTATTGGATGACCTTTGATTTTTTGTATTTATGTCAAATGTATATACCAAAATTTGGGAATCATTAACTTGTGAATCTCTCTAAGAGACTAAAAAGCTAAAAAATTGAAGACATCTGATACATCAACTAATTCATCAAGAGATGGCCAGGAATGATTGAAAGGTAGAAAAAAAGAGTTTAACAAAAAAATTATCTTTGCAGCTAAGGCTTGCGATTCAGAATGAAAACTTCTTTTTGGAGAGGCGAAAGCTAAGACGACAGAAGTCCTTTCAAGTACCTCATGTTGATTCAGAGACTGAGAATCCATCACAAGATTCACCACGCCTACCATCCGAATCTGAACCGTAATCCAAGTATGTTAATCTAGTTAGAAATTTTACATTTTTGCAATTTTTTGTTATTTTTGTATCAAAAATTAAGCAACTAATGTCCTTGGGCTAATTATTATGGTTTCACCCAGTTCGCTACTCAGTTTGATAACTTTTTGTTACCTTTGTCCTGACATATCTTGAAATATGAATTATTCATTTTTGTGGTTCATATTTTAAATTCTAAACATACTAATATTCCTTAAATGTTTTGTTATATTTTGGTTATATTTGGTTAAATTGTGTAAATATTAGTGACTGATTTTCGAAATTTAAATTTGCCGGTAGATAGATAGTTTCAACTGACAATAAAATCTTCAATATAATTTAGAAATTGAAAAATTCTATAATCTCCTTTTTCCACTATTAATGTTCTTGAAACCATACATAGAAATGCATTGCTCTTGGTTATTAGCATGTTTAGCCCCCCCCCCGATAACCACCCCCCAAAATAGAATGTTTTAGTTCCCTCAATCTGTGCCCCCTCTCAAAAATGTTATAGCTCCCTCAATCTGTATTATAATCCCCGGTCCTTGATACGAGGCGAGTGCTTACAAATATCAACTCAAGTTGCCATACAAATTGCTCGTTTGCAGCTTTTTCCGATTTACAAGTGTTTAACTACTCATTGCCATACTGGCAGAATGACAAAGGAGAAAAACTTTGAATTTAAATTATCTTAACGAACAAAACATGGCGTGGCGCGAAGGCCTTAAACGAACAGCGAAAATCCATAATTAATACAAACATGAGCAGCCTCGTTTCTATGTACACCTGATTGAGGTTTTCCTATTTCAACAACAAGTTCATTTCGTCAATAAATTTTTCTAAACTATCAAGCCAAATGATAAAACAAAGCACAAAAAAATTATTTTCTCCAAAATATTGAAATTTTTGCTTTCTTTGATGCTCTCTTCGTCAATGTCTCCTTTATTTCAGGCTTTTTTATTGAAAGTGTTTTCAATCAGGGCCTAAAGTGGTTCTTTCTGTTGCATCTCAAATAAGCCCTTATGATGACTTATGAAAACATTGATTGCTTATTATAATTTGGCATGTAAGGATGGATAGGGGCTTTTACCAATTTTTACTTCTAGAGGGGGCTTATTCCCGGGGGGGGGCTATACAAGTAGGGGGGCAATTTGAGTATTTTGGGTTTTTGCATAAATATTTTTTTATTTGTTTCATCAAGGGTGTGAATGCCTTGTATTGCTGCAAGTTTTGCTTCACATTTGTTATAGCATATGTGCTGTTGTAGCTTAAAAACTGTATATTAAGGCTTACAATTAGAAAAGGCCTGGTAGGGCTAAAAATTGCCGCCAGAATGCTGAATTTTAAGAGTTAATATGCCATTAGCAATTGATAGTACTTCTTAATTAGATTTGCAATTATACGAATTCCTTTCTCTTTGCTTGCAATTATATAATTGTAATTAGATTGAGACATTCATTGTTCTTTACAGTTATATCTAACTTATTTTGTGATTTGTTAAATTGATATATCTTATTCAGTACATTTAGAAACGTACATTTGTTAACTATGTAAATGAAGAGTATTCAATAAAAAAAGTTTATGATTTTATATACATAGGTCAGAGCACTCACTTTTTAAGGAAGATATATTCTGTATTTTGGTAAAAACTGTGTATTTCAAAGTGTAGCCTTTAGGTCCATAAACTCAATTAACAATAAGCCAAATGATGGACAGCCATACCAATAACTTACAGATTTACATCAAGTGCAAAAAAATTTTGATGTATTTATTCTCAGGCAAAGGATGAAGAAAAATGTTTTGTCCTGATTTTTCCCAACCCTCTGATTATTCAAAAATTAATTTGTACTCAGAGATTAAAAGATTTCAGAGACAGTTTTTCAAAAGCTGCAGATTGTCGTGTTTCCAAAGCGTGTTTATTCATTTTACATGGGGATGACACTTGCCATTACCCTAGCCCTCTCCAAAGTTATTTCTATGGCCTAACGATGACCAATGACAAGATAGAAAGGCTATATGAGACAACATAGAGAAGCTATATGGGCACTGCCAAAGAATGGAGGTCTGCCCAGCTTGCAGAGCAATTTATAAATGAAGCCATAATTGCTTGATTGTTTACTTTTTGCAAGATCATTTCTTCAAGATCATTGCTTACAAGCTAAGGAAAAAGACACATTTAATGACTGTCAAATCCTGTAGGAGTCTGTGTTTCAATAATTTTTCTTTGTAAAATCTATCTACAAAACTACAATCTCTTTGCTCCACGTTTAGCCTGTTAAACTTTTCAGCAAGTAAATAATGTTAATGCAAATTCTGTAAGTACAAAGTGTATAAAACAAGTAGTGTTGTTTCCAGCTTTAATTCACCAGTGATTTGGCAGCTACAAGTACCGTATTCTCTTATTTATTCCTGCCCTCCCTAATATTCCTGCCTCTTTAGTAACCCTGATCCTGTTCTCTACTTTGAAATATTAATCCCACCTCTCTGATAATCTTTACTGCAGGTTTAATGAAAGAAAGAGCCCAATGCATTGGAAATGTTCTTGGTATTTTAATGACTTCAAAACATCCATCCTAATTTTGAAAATAGCAAGGATGAATATTGTTTCATCCAATCGGTGTCAATATTCAATCAACATTTGTCAATGTTCTTTGCATTTTACATACAATGTTTCCCCACCAAAACTCAGTAAATATTATAAAAGTTGATAAACCCACTTCTCTAATAGTCCTGCATTAAACCAGCAGCGGGAATACAAGAGAGAATACGGCACTCTTTGTGAACCTCCATTCCTCTCTCCTAAAGCACCTTTATGTCCTAACACAGTGAGAATCCACTCAAAGCAGAACTGTTAAGCAATTATATCTTCACAAATAATATCTTCACCATTTACTTACAATTCAAATTCATTTTAGCTCTGAAATTTGTTTTGAAAATATATATCCATTTTCTCCACAATATGTATTTTTATATTTATCAAGCCCTATTTTTATTCTATTTTTTAAAGTTTTTTTCATGTTTACTCCAAAATTAGTATTTTCGAAAGCCTTGTAGATGGCTTTGAATTCTGGTTGCTTGTCATTCTGAAAAACGCCTCTATTGCCATGGACAACTGAAACTCCATTATTTAAGGCAGTACCACAATTGTTCCCATACATGCAGTGATCTGGACGATAATTCCACTCGCAAGGAAATATATATAAGTGCTCTGCAATGAAAACAGGTCATCCTCAATAGCAAGTCATTAAAAAAATAAAAAAAATAAAAAGTAACAATTACTTAACTTGTCAAAGTTCCTAAAAATGAATTTATCATTAAAATGCAAAAACCGAATATATTGTTGTGGCTTTCCCCATTAAAATTTGGTTCACACATGAAATATTGTGATTTAGCTTGAGATGTGATGATACGGATTGAGATTGACTCTAAACAGCAACACTTTAGTACATGGAAACACATCAAGGCTTTTCAGAATCAAACATCCATGTTAAAAATAATCACCTTCAGAAATATGTTGATAACTGCCAAACTCTGCAGACTGGTTGACAAAATTTGGACATGGAACAACAGACAATTACTAGCCCCAATCAAATTGAGGCTTAAACTTTGCTAAAAACATTTATAGCTCGAGGAAATTCAGAATAGAAGATTAGATTAACTGGGATTATCTCAACGAAAGCAAGCTTGCTGGGGACTATTCTGTTGCATGATTAGAATTAAGGAAAAGTAAAACACAGTTGAACTCATTCATAACTCACAAAAAGTTTAACCTAGAAATAAAAAAGCCTGAAAATAAAAAATGATATGATTAAGTTCATTGATTTCGTAGTTGGAACCCACAATATGACATCAGAGCTGAAGTTTCTCTTTCAGTGGTTCAAAATATCATGGAAAGATAAGCTATTTTCTGGCTACTAAAGCTTTCTGATAATTCTTATCTACTCTGTTATTACAATCAATCTATTTATCATTCACAGAAATCAAAACCAATAATTCTGATTTTGTCTGGACTCCTTGAAAAAAGAACAGAAAATTTATCTTAGCAAGTACGCCAATGCTGGTTTCTTCTTATTCTTCAGTTTTTACTTACAAGTGAATGACATTGAAAAAATCTCAGTTTCTCCCTTAACCATTCCTCCAATTTATTGCTTGCAAAATTCGGTTATTGATCATGTGAGTCTCTGAATTAGTTTTCCTTTTTTCTAAGCCTTTAATGAGGAGCTCAGCCTCTGAACCATCATGGCATTTTTAAAATAAAATATTGTAGAACAAGTTATTTAATGTCTTAATTTAAATCTCTGAAAATGTATTGTGTTACCTGGTTTAAAATGGAACATTATATTCAAAATATCTTGATCTCCCCATGTGATATCGTAACGATAATGCTTGTAAATAGGGTACACATCATCATTCCAGTTGTTCCTCCTCATTCTTGTCAGGTTCATCAACATAACACCAGAATTGACACCAAGCCTGCCATAATATGGGTGTCTAGCAAATCTGTTATACCATCCTATGGCGTCAACTTCACCTTCTGGTGCCATACCAGCTAGCTGTGTATTGTTAAACCTTGAGAAAAATCCCCATAGATCCTCTGGTGGCCTTAGCATCAATACATCAGTGTCTACATATATTATGGAATCAACATCCTTTAGTAGAAGCTGAAAGAAAAATATGATTATTTCTTCATACTTATTTTCTGAAATTGTATAAGATAAGGAGAAATTTAAAGGCTTGCAAAACCAAATGCTTTGCAGTTTACATTTCTTTTTGACAAAGCGAATAATATGTATGCACTAAGCATGAAACTCGGCATATCAACTTAGAACTTGATGTCCTGTTCACCAACAGTGTATAGCACCATGTAGCAGACATTACAAATGTCTGCAAATTACAAACATTTAAAATCATTTTCATAATCAATAATGTGCCCTATTTGATATGGCCCATGATTTGTACCACACCAACTAAAAGTAAAAAGAAAAGGCTTTATATTAACAAGTATCATCTAGCATACATAACTGATATTGAGAGAAGAGTAAAATTTTCAAAAAGTTGCGCTTTGCTGTTAAATATACAATATATACCAAGTGAAAAATTTATCAACATACTGGGAAGAAAAGTCTTTGAGAGGCACATGGTTTGAACAGTTTTTTCCATTCATGAAAGTTACCCTCAACAGGAAATTGTATTGTATGGAGGTCAAGCTTGATTTTACCATTTTTAAAACCAGGCCATGTTTGAATTTCTTTCTTGAAAGTATCATGCAATTCATCTTCAGCAAAGACATGGAAATACAATGGTTTTTCAGACAACATAGCAAAAGACTTCAGGCTGATGATAGCTTCAGGTGCTCGCAGTCCACAAGCAACAATACCAGCGTGTATTGCTTGATCATGCAAGGTTCTTCAAAAAAGTATAATCAAATATGATCAGTTGTACAAAAGAGGAAAAGTCTTAAATTTGAAAGAAGAAAAAATTATATCAGGCTGGCCATCTGAGGAGAGCCATGATAGCTCTCCAAGGCTCTCCTCAAATGCCAAGGGGAACTACATATTGCTCTCCTAAATTGCTCTTAAAAGAAAATAGCTCTTTTTGAAATCAATTTTACCCTCATTTCTATATTATTTATCCACGAATAGCTCACCTCAAATTTACTAGGATATATGTTTACTTTTCCCCTGCCAAAAGACTTATGGCCAGGCCTGATTCAATGTGACAATACAGGAACAAAAAATAAATTCACTGATCTTAGATTAAAGCTCAAAGCCAGTTTAGCCATGGTTGCAAGTATAAAACAGATTGTCTACTTTCATATAGCAAGCTACAAAGTAGACACCAGTTGTTTGATTGGCAGATGTTCTTTGGGTACATTTTATAAGGAATGCGTAAACAGGTTGTGCAAACTGTTGCAAGTAAATTTGAAGTTACAAAAATTTAAATTTTTAAAGAGTTGTAAAATCTATTCACTGCCTTTTTTCTTGTGCTGCATGTCCATAATGAGCCACTTACTTTGCTGTTGTTGTTACAGGTTCATGGTTTTCTTCTCTATGTGGTTGGCTTTTCTTGTTTAGTGGGCTTTCTTTCTTTACATCTTCACTTTCTTTTACTGCCTCATTAATATCTGGCCTTCTTCTTGGCTTTGTTTCCCCAGGACCATGCTTTATATAAATAGCTTCCATTTCAGGAGACATTGGAAAAGGTAGTTTTGGAGTTCTTATATACAAATAAATATAAACTGCAACTGATACAAAAATCACCAATGCAAATATTATTTTTAAATAACTAAGAGGCATTCTGTTTGTGTTTGACTTGCTTGTATCAACTTTTTTGTCACTTGTTTCTCTGTTCTTTCGCCGCATATTTAGTCTTTGATATTCAGTTGCCTACAACAAATTAAAAAGAAAATTCAAATTAAAATTCTCCCAAAGTCAACTCAACTGGTAAGAAATTTGGGCAGTGGGCAACAGTCAGCAAGTCATGCAATGTTCAGGTGATAATATTCTGTAGGAGATTGTTGACTAGTAAACTGATCTCCAATATTGGACTCTTTGCCTTCTTGCAGTGGTCAAATTTGTCTATAACCAGGCTTTCATTGGAAAGCTGTTCAATTGCATACATACATCCAGGTGCACACCTACTACTTGCCAAGAGTGCAAAATTTTCCATGCCTTCTTTGCCGTATGACAGAAACCTACTTATTATTTAGAAATCAAACCACTTTTATCTTTAATGGCATTGGAAAAGAATTAATATAGTAGACTTCAAACTTTAAAGAGAATATACTCATACTCGATAAGTGATTTAAAGATTTTTCCAGAAAGAGAATCCTTTCATGAAATTTATTTTGTTTGTATACTAAGACTACAACTCCCTTTCTGTTAAGACACGCTCATTTTAATTTTTAGCTGTTAATTAGTTTAATCTAAGTTTGAAAATAGCATTTCCAGAAAATGTTGGGCTGAAGCAGGCTTTATTGTTGCGTGATGTTTTACAGAACTTGCTGGTCCTAGGTTCGTTTTACCAGTTTTATCACCTAGATGTTTTCAGTGTGATTAATATGCTGAAATAAAATAAGCTGGTACGTGCGTGTGATGGGTATTATTGAGAACAGTATATCCCGACAAAAGTTCTACATTTATTACACAAAACTGTCAAATATAACTGGCCTTTTACTTCTTACCTTTGTAAAAAATGTTTTCTCGTGGTCCTTGCTTTACTACCATTGCAAAAGGCTTTTATTCTTCTGACGAAGGCTCAATGAATGAATGCCAAACAAACAAACATCATACCAGTTGCTTTCAGACATTTTGACCTTGTTTGGGTGTTGGAGCCTCGTTTGAAGCCTCGCTTATCACTTATTTGGGGACTTGCTATTTTGACATACATTGGCCGCGGTCAAAGTCCATACCAGTTTTCGGCCGAAAACCACGAAAACGCTTCGTACTCAAAAAGAGGGCGAATATAGAAATAACGAGTATTGTGACTACGTCATACATAATGGGCGGGAAAAAGATTACTTCAACTTTTTGGCGGGAAAATCATACGAACCAAAATGGCGGAGGGTATAGGCAATGGAGTGTATCACTATCACCGATGTGATCTTGCAGCTAAATCAAATAAAAAACTGGCAATCCATACTATATTCATTTCACTCAATTCATTCTGATTCGATAAAAGTATTTACAAGTAAAAAACTATTACTAATACAAAAAATCAGATCCCGAACTTACAGCGGACACGAAAATCCGCCATTTCTGAATACTGTGCTGTCGATGCAAATCTCGACCCGAAGATCATCGGTGCTCGGTAAGCAAGAAATCGCAATGGACTTTGACCGCTGTCAATGTATGTCAAAATAGCAAGTCCCACTTATTTGCCTTGCTGTTGTAGCCTGCGTGCAGACGATAGTAAAGTCTGCACGCAGGCTATGCTGTTGCTGATTAATGAAAAATACCAGGCACGACAGGGCCCACGCCACGAATTGGAAGGTGAGGGTGAGGGGGCAAGGCTAGCAAAAGTAAGGGGCCAAGGCTTCTTTCCCCTTTAACTGCAGCTTTAAAACTACATACTCTGCAATAAATTGGGGGGGTCATGGCAACCCCCCCCCCCCCCCCCCCCCGATGGCGTGGGCCCTGCATTACCATTCTTCATTCGTCCAATAGAGTGTTTTCATGGATTGAAAATTTGAATATAGGGCTGGTAATTTCTTCTTTTATCAAAAGAGGTTTCTTCCTTGACAGAGCATCATCTGACAAATCTTCTTTATACTCATTACTAATCCTTGAGAAATATTGCTGATGAAATATGAAATGATGAAACATCGCTTTTGGAGACCTTTTCTGTTATTTTCGATCAAAATCTAAATTAACCTCTCAAAAATACTCTCATTGCAATCTTTTTCATTGGAAAAGCTACCCTGGGTACCAGACTCACTCTCTTATATAAATGGTATCCAGGGTACCCATGGTAGGGTATGGAAAGCAGACTTCACCAGAGTCTCTTTCCATTACATTTGCATGACTGTTGTACGTATGGATATTTTAAGGAATGTAAGTCCATATCAGGGGGTGAGGACTCAAGAGGGCGCAGCCTCCTTGTTAAAATATTCGAAAAAAGTTGGGTCTCAGCTCCCTCATCATTTGTGCTTGAATACACCGAGGAATCATCTAAAACCACAGGTCAGCCAATGATGCCTAAACCGGAAAAACATATTGCAAAAAGCTTTATATGCATGAAAATACACGAAGTTTGACTGTTTATAGGTAGAAAATTCTTGAAAGATTTCTTTCTGTGTATGTTTTGGTGCAGTTTTGTATATACAGTTGGTTTCTTATTGTTGCATCTAGAAATGGGGTTTATTATCTGAATCAACAAACAATTATTTGACCCTGTCTTGCCTACTTTTAATATTTGATGCACTACACTCCATTTTGTAAGAACTAGATAAATTTTTCCAACGCTCGATGTTCTCATTTTTTGGATAAATGAAGGCTCGGCAGGGGGGCGGAAACACTCGAGTCGGAGTCGGTTGAGTCGGTGACGGTGCCCATTGGGGGATTTGGCTCGAAATTTTTTATCCACCAGCTACCCCTTAAATCGTTTAAGTCGCCATCAATCTTGACAAATTCACATTAAACATATATTCACTACACGCTATTTATAAAATGTCCAACTTCAAAACCCTGGTCCTAAATTTCCTAATTTCTTGATCTCTATAAGTCGAATTGCTTTACCAAGATCTCCATAATAGCTTCTTAATTTTAACTGCACATTCAGTGAAATGAAATAGCGTAGATACAAGAAAAAGAGAAATTCTGAGTTTTGCTTATACTGTATCTAGAAAACAAGGCCAAAACACAAAGAGGGCAAGAAATAAATTAATTTGCGTAAAAGTACTAGCTACATCAATAAAGAAGTACCTTTGCGTTTAATATAGAGAAAGGCAATCATTACACTCTTTATTATAAGAATGTAATAAATTTTGTCCAGCCTCGATATTTAAGAAAATTTTGTTTTGAGCCCGAATGTGTTCTTAGATACATCCTTTTTTCAAATCCGGTATGGTTTTAGGAAAGAATCGCTTGCTCCCGGATAGAAAACACACATTTTGAAAAAGCGGAAAATGTCAGTATTGCGATTCTCTGTTTCAAATATTGCAAAAAAGCAACTTCTGCAAAATGTGCCCTCCACGCCAAAGGTCACCTTTTTTTTCTTTCCCCAAGGTCTGTCACTAGAGTTTAAGCATGACTCCAATCCCCCCCCCCCTATTTCTACCAGAAATAATAATCTGTATTTTTCTGAGAAGCGTCGATTTTTCTATCTTGAATGTTTTGTAAAACTTGGTCTGGGAGATGCTTTTCCAAATCTAAAAATCTTGATTTCGTTTTTTAAGTCGTTTGCCCCATGAAACTGTTTCCATAACACATACCATAAATTGCTTGTTGGTGCCATGACCAACTGCACACTTTTAATTCATTCTCTCTGCTGACCCCCCCATTGACATGACAGATTTACGGCCCTGCATAAAATCTGATATTTCGTGCTATATGTATGTAATATTCAAATGGCATGCGGAGAAGACAAGCATGGAAAGGTGCACTGAATGGAAAGGGAAACTTAAATCGTTTTAGAGAGCCTGGTCCAAACAATATCCCTCGTTCATTTTCTCCCGTCATTTTGCCTTCTCGAGACGTCAAGCCATTTCTACGTGGCTGGCTGTTGCTCTGATTGCTCACCAGATAGAACCCCAAATTTTCCATTTAACTATATTCATCTCTGGAAAATCCAGTCAGGCACGAAGCCAGCACTGTAAATTTTGGCGGGCAACAGGGGCGAAGCCAAACAAATTTTTCGGAGGGGTAGTATTGCCTTTTGCCAACAAAAAGTGTCTCACTCTTTTTGGGTGTGGTCATAAAATACGTAACCTTATATGCTACTTTTATGTGTTTCTAACTTATTATTCAGAATTCTAAAATTTCAATTTGTATTTTTAGTGCATACTTTGAATATTTTAGCTGCTACAGAAATTTTAGCCCGTTACAATTGTTTCAGAATGATTATAGTTCTCCACTGGGGATTAGAAACGCAAACATCTGAAGAGAAGTCTTGCTTTATATTACTTTTTTACAGAATAAATAAAAAAACTAACTGTAGAAGGGAACTAAGCCATAATGATATGTGCAACAGAGCTTTGTCATTTCTTCTACTTGAAAGAGAGTTTTCAGGGTTTTAGCTCCCAAAAAAAAGTCATCAAACCGCAATGCTATCAATAATTATCGTTCAAAATGAACATAGCCTTTTCCAAGAGAAATTAGTTCTGGGGGCAAACCTTTGTTTATATAAAAAAGAGACAATAGCCTATTGTTTAAAACAATGGAAAGCCACTTGGGCTGCAAGAGGCAAGGCAACTGCCCTGTAGAAAGTATGTTAAAAAGGCCTCGTTTTGCAGCTTGGCGCCTTCGTTGAAAGCATCTACCTCGCTTAGTGCCGAAAAAAAGCACTCATAGCAGGCTGCTCGACATTGAACTGTGTGGACTGATGCACAGTCGATATTGGCTTTTACCATAAATACACAGATGCATAGACTTTGTTGATATCAGTTTTTCGACAGTCATGTAAACAAAACATGCTATTTCTAAATTTTGAGACAAAACATGTTTTGATCCTAAAATTTTTAGACGGGCACAGAGGGGCAATAAATTCTAGCTGGGCGGGTAATGCCCCCCGCGCCCCTCCTTGGCTTCTTGCCTGAATCCAGTCGAGTCTGTGCGCAGGCCATGAGCGAGGCTATTTGGCTTGGCGCAAGGCAATGTTAGCTCTCAGTCAATCGTGAAATTAGTCTATATCACCCAGGGACGCCTACACAAGATTAGGGCAGGAGGGGCAGTGTTGGTGCTGAGGGCAAATCGTAGAATTTTTCTACTAGCATGGTCGAGTATTCCTGGTTAGAGAGGGTGGGGTAACATAACAAAATATTAAAATGCATATGTGACGACCATACAGCTGAATTTTTCTACCATCAATGATTGCAAATACTGTTTTATCCATCTTTGGTTTCTGGAGTACTTCTGAGGGAACAGGTCTCTTGTTTATCTACTATTATCTTTGCCGCTCTCCCTCTTTTTACCGACCTTGCTACAGGCAGCCTTTTCAACCTTTTTATTTTTGTGCTGGTTTTATCATTTTTCTAATATTTTCTAATAGAAATTAACATAACGAGTGCGGTCAAAGTAATCATCAATAATCAATAAGATTCTGCAGTATTTTCTTATATTTCAGGGCACTTCTTGCCCCCTCTGCCCCTCTTCGAAGAGGGCAGGAGGGGCAGCTGCCCCTCCAGCCCTCCCGGTGTAGGCGCCCCTGATATCACCTCATTGGTCTATATAAAAAGATTCATCGTTTTTTGACAGTCATGCCCCCAATTTACACCGTTTAAAAATTCAGCTTTTTCTATACATTTCAAAAGAATTTACTGCTGAAGTAGAAACATTTCACCGCAACAAACAAATCTGATCCGGGGGAATTAATATGGTATGCAAGATCACCTATTTTCCATAGCGCAGTATGTTTCTAAACATTTTTTGGAATCTACTGCTGGGAAAATGTACGGTCAAGATTTAAAGAAATTTATGCTTAGTGACAAGTTAAGTCGAAAACAGGAAAATTTGCAAACAAGAAACAGCTCATTCGTGACTTTTATTGCATTCCTGCTGTGAAAATCATGCACATTTTACGTTTCTTCCTAGATTCTGTCATCATGCAATGGTTGTATCATTGTTCTGAAACATATCGTAATTCGCATGTTGTCAAACGCACCCTGTGACTAATAATTGCGCAAATGTGTTTCACCCGTGGTGGATTCTGACCTTCCTTGTTGCCCAAGGCCGGAAAAAATAAGGTGCAACGTACATTGCCTCAACTGAAACATTGGGTATATTTATGCAGCGCGCAATAAGCAAATAATTAGAAAAGGTATGGAGAATAAAGGAATGAATGAAGAAAATTCTTACGGGAACCTGTTTGAAAGCGCGTATGTGCAGATGGGAGGCAATGCGCCTCTTAGCAGCGAATACTTAGAAATCGACGATGCTCAAGACTTGATCAAAACTCCAAAGGTTACCATGGCTTATATGGACGTCGAAGTAATCGCTGACGCTGCCTATGCAAATATGCCACCACTGCCTACACCAACAAGGGAATCAGCCAATCGTCAAAAATCTTTGCCGAATGATAATAAAACCAAAGAGTATTTAGACGACCAAAATGATGCCAGTTCTACTTACGCTAATGTGGACAGTCCACCAACGACCCCGACATCTAGAGGCCGCCCAAGTTTACTTGTATCCCCGCCAATTGAAGACAAAAAGAGAGGTTCTAGCAAAAGCAAAATGAATAAAACCAGTTTCACAAATAAAAATGGGCCAGAATACGAGTCAGCCGAGCCTCCCTCACTCAAGAAAAGCGAACAAATGACAAATCCATACTCTTATGCAGCC